TTTTCTAAGCTACAAACATGCTGTCATTTAAAAATATTTATATATTTTTTTTTTTTGCATTAGTTTTTCTAAAGCTATGTGAAAAATTGGATTTTTCTTGTTTAAAAAAAATCAGAAATAGATTATGTGGTTAACTGTTATTTGCATCCAGTATTCGTTAATATTGGGGCTAGTCTAGCTGAAACAGCTCTCCTGTTCAACTGGATATTCCTCAAACAGGAAATATCGGTTTTTGCCTTAATTTTGAACTCTCCAAAGAGCTCCCATAAATTAATTTTATTTTTTACCAAGATGATAAACTCAAAAGAAAACAAATAAAATAAAGCAGCTTTTCTGCTTTAATTAAGCCAAATAATCTACACATGTTTCAGCAGGTTAAAGTTTAGGTTAGTTTCTTATTGCTTTATGCTTCTTTGAATTTGTATTGTGGGTTTTTTGTAAACTCTAACTTCAGCCATTGCTTTTTGATGTTTATTTTTAGTTATTAATTTTTCTGTTTTTTTCCCCCCTCTGAGCACAGAGCTTTATTGGAAGAAAATATCGAGGGTTTGGAGCCAGAGGGGCGTAAGTGGCATTTGACCAACTTTACAGGAGAGCGAAAACAAAATTATGACCAAACTTTAATCAACTGTATTTATTAACCTTCAACGTCAACATTGCACCCACATACATACTTGTATTAAGTAGTAGTTCAGTAAACAGATTATGATATATTAAAGCAATTAACATATTGTAAAACATTACAAAATCATAAAAAATAGGTCAAAAACAGCAGATACGCCCTTTTGACACCAAGCATATACAGAATTTGTAAAGAAAATAAGGCGTATCTGCTGATTTACATACAAAATATTGGCTTCAAACACTTGACATTCATAAGAAAAACAGTCTTATTTTATTATTTTTGCTATTATTATCATTTATTAATATTTCATTTATTTAGCCTGGGCGTGGCCAAAATGAGATAGACCTATTTCAATTCTGAGTCATGACAGAAAAAATATGTATTTCATTTAAAACAGTTATTCAGTTAACCAGTTAGTTCACCTTAAAACATTTAAACATGTAAAACTTTGACATTTAATTTTTGACATTTAACATTTAAGTTCTTTAACTCTAACATTTAATTTAATGCGTCATGTTTACACATTCCACTTGTCAACTACACATCTGTACTATCAGTGCCTACTACTTTCAGGGAGTTGTAAAACTCTGCATAGTAATTAGGAATACTCCTATTGGTGCAAAGGGTGAGGAGATCCTTTTTTTCCCAGGCATTTATGCCTGGGGGGCTTTCATACAGTGAGCTTGGTGATTGTATGGTGCTTGTGGCTCTGGTTGGTAGGCGTACCATCATCTTTTTGAAAGTTGGGGCAGTGACATCATACTTGAAGTAGATTGTCTTCGGGTTTTCTTTCGTGTAGCCGAACCACTTTATCTTCTGCCAATGGACAGCTTGTCCCTCCTCATCTTTTGATCTGTTCTTCACCGTGAGGTTGGAGAGGGATTTGAAATCAAGGAAATCCTTATGCAGAAGCTCATTCACACGGTATGGGTTTCCCTGCCTTGCCATCCTCACCAGTGTGTAATACCCATCAGGGGAGTAGATGCACACTTTGCGCCTTGCAGTTTCTACTGCGGCATGCACACTGTCGCATTCCATTTGGCTGTGCCCCGACTCCATGAACTTGTGGTCAATTGTTGAGAGAGGCAGCGAGCTCACAGCATGCAAGCACATAGTGCTGAAGGCTGCATTTCTGTTCTGTCCCCCACAAGTGTCTGAGTACAGAACAACATGTTTCACTTGAGGACTAAGTCCTTTAAGGTACATGTGAACACATGTGCTGATCTCAGAAGATCCACGGCCACCTTCCCCCTCATGCCACATGTAGCAGTCAACATCCTTACAGCCCATGTCATACACGGTGAGGTTGTATGTACTCAACTTTCGTGAGTAAAACAGGCTACTCACATTACTCCATGGAGTTGTCAAGACTTGCTCAATGTCAAAGGTGACAGCCTTGCATGATTCATCTTCTTTTGCTCTGTTTTTATCAGTTTCTTTCTGCCTTGGTCTTTCTTAATTGGTGGGCATTGTATTCCTCACTGTGCTTTGTTTTTTCGTGGTCTTCTAGACGTTTATACCAGTCGCAGTATTTGCATGCGTCTTTTTTAGGAGTATGGAAGGCCATGTTAAACTCCTTGTCAAACACTGACCTATACATACTAAGCTTTTCTGGTTGGATGTTCCACTCTCCACATTTCTCTTTATACAAGTCATACATTTTCATGAGATTTAGAGAACCTTCCAGATACAGCTTGCTTGTGTCTTTTCTGGAGTAGTGAGATTCAAGTGTGGGAAATGAGCGGATGTGTTCTCTGATCTTTTCTTTGCTGCTTTCTGGGATTTTGTTATGCGGTGCATGGCGTCCTTTCTTGCTTGGAGGGGTCATTCCCAAATCACTGTGTGTGAGGGCGCCTGCTGATCGTGCAAACTTCTCTGAAATATCAAGGGTCTTCAAAGAGTTCAAGAGTTAAGTAGTAAAAGTGCAAATAAATATTGTATGACAGAATATTAGGCTACTTCTATTCAAAGTTGACTAGATTAAACAAAGGCAAGGTGTTAGCCATGCTAGGCTAGGTTAGGCTAACAAGGCTAGACCAAATAGTGCACATTCATGAGGGTAGTTTTTGTATCTTACCTCCATCACTGAAATGAAGAGCAATCTCTGAAGCTTCATCTTCAACTTCATCACTTTCCCTTATTATACTGATCAAAATCTTTTCTGCCTCAGTCAGTTCTTGCATGTCTGCAGTTCTGTCACCCATTTTAGCACTGGGCACCACTTGTGTTACGCCCTTTTGACTCTGAAATGCACTGCAGGGTCTGGTATTACTCAGAGCCACAAGGGCGTATATGTACATACGCCCTTCTGGCTCCAAACAGTACTCCACCTTTTTGGTAAGGTCTTTGTTGTTTTATTGTTTTATTCAATACAGATTCATTTCTGATTTGTATCTTTGGCACCACTAGATGAAGCTAATCAAGACCTTTCATTTGATATATAGAACTCATTTTTGACCAAAATGCCACTTACGCCCCTCTGGCTCCAAACCCTCGATATGTTAAATCTCTGACACTGTTTATGTTTTAGATATAAAGATTCTCAAATCAGTGAACAAAAAAGTAAAAAAAATAGCTGTTTGTCCATATTTTTTCTTAAATTCCAAATATATATATATATATATATATATATATATATATATATATATATATATATATATATATATATATATATATATATATATATATATATATATTTTGCAGCTGACTGACATATATTTATAGAGAAATGAAATGAAAACACTTTAAAACTCATTAGCTTCTTCTGTACCCAGTAAAGGTGTTAAACATGCTTTTCCTCTGGAATTTGACTTAGAAAACATAAGAAATATATCATATTCTTGGTATTTAATATATATGTGAGCCCTGTGTATGTTTGTGCTTCAAACAGATCGATGGAGATGTAAAGTTCACTGGATATTTTTTCTTATGTTTAAAACATTAAAAGCTAAATCAGAGGTAAAACAAAAACAGAGAATTTTCTAACAAATTATGGCAATAATATTCTTTAACTGTAAAAGAGGCAATTTCTCCTGCTATAATATGCAGAAAATCATTGGTTATTACATATGGTTTAAAAATATATATATTGTTTTCTTGTCTTGTTTTTTTTTTTTTTTTTTTGTAGTAGTGCTGGTGAGAGGGGGTTCCTATTTTGAAACCACTTGCCTTTATTTATCACTTTAAATAGAAAATTAAAATAAAAGGGTAAAAACTGCTTGAATTTAATTTAATCTGTTTTATTTTAAAATTAAAGTTAAACTTTTTATTTTTTTATTTTTGTTAATAATTTGAATAGAATAGAATAGAAAATACCTTTATTCTGCCACAATGGGGATATTCTGGTATTTACAGCAGCAAAAGGTTTATAGAAAAAAATAGTCACACAAATGTGGAGCTTAGAAAAAAATTCATAAGAATAACATAATAGTAAAGAGTTAAAACATAAACAATAAATAACTGTACTGTAAAGTGTTTTGACAATACAAATACTCTAGAAACTGGAGATTTAATAACCAACATACAGCTATAGACATTTTTACAGTAATATTTATTTGATTAATAAAAAAAAAAATGATTATTGATTTATGCTGAGGAAATAAATCCTCCTACCAAAACATGAACAATTTTATTAAGTTTACTTTTTACACTGTGAAAAATTAGGCAAATACATTTTAAAATGTTTCCCAATGCTGCTTCATATTTAGTGGAAATTTCTGAAGACATGTTGGCAATTTTTATGAAAGCTGATTGTCTAAACGGAAATTAAACCACAAATCTAACATTTTAACTCATCATAAAGAGGCAGTTGTACTGCATATAATTTACCTTGAGGGCGTGTTTTGAACTCCCACTTTTCCCTTTATCTGATGATCTGGTGTATTGATTATGAAATCTTCCCCAAATGCAGGGTTTACTTTTATTGTACACCACTAGAGGGCGCCATACAAACGAAATTCAGGTAATTTAAGCAAAAGACCTGCAGCAGTGGGAGGGTTTATTACTACACCTTAAGGAAGGTGCTGAAGAAAAAAATATTATAGCAAAAATAAAAATAAATAAATAAAGCTAATTTCTGCGCTGCTGCCATCTCCTGGTTGGAAAAATGCAATAAGTTAGTCTAGTTTTTAAAATAAATAAAATTAAATACAAAATAAATACGGGTTGTAGTTGTTTGCTTTTAGTATTTTAATAAAATAAATTTAAATAAAAATAGTTTATTTTAAAAACTTTATGAAATGAAGTTAAAATATTAGCTCATTTTTATTTTTTTCTTCTACCGGTAAAAAAAAGAGCGATAGTGTTTGAGGCGTGACGCCGCGCTCGCGGTTGTTTTGGTTAGCATCAGCTAGCATCAGTTAGCCTAGCTAGCATTGGCTAACTGAAGCTAGCTTGATATTTGCTGCTGTAGCCGGTGGTTGCGGTGATGGCTCTCCCATGAGGTGGGAGAGCGGGACTGCTTTTTTTACTGATTACTCTCTGATAAAGTGTCGCTAACATGGCCGGGGTTTTTGACATCGATTTAGATCAACCAGACGAGAATGTCTCTGACGACGATCTGGAGGATGGGGTGAGTTTAAAGCTGCACCGCCGTCTCTCCGCTAGCTACTCATCAGTTTGCCGCCTCGAGGCCTGTGTTATCAGTGTCAACCCGGCTTCCATTATCGGACAATGTTTTACCCGCCCATTGCCTTTTATATGATGTTTATGTCTAGATTCGTTTTGAAATATATCAATTATTACTCCGAATCAGTGAAATATTCCTTGTTATATTTCTGAAATGATCTTACTATAAGGAAACTTATCGATAATAGTCATAAGCATTATCAGAAGAGCCGAACACGGCTGTCAATTTAACACATTTAAATGTACAGCTAAGCTGAACTCAAACTGTCGATAAACTGATAAAAGTGGGATAACCTTACATCAGATAAGCTCAAATAAAATAAGGAATATTATCAATATACACCCTAAGGTAAGGTATTATGACATGTCCGATAATGGACTCATGTGATCTAATGCTATATTTTTAACATTTGATACTACAACGTGTTTATAAATGTTAGAAATAGTTTTGGTGCTTTTTTATTTTCTATTCCAGATAAAGTTAAAGCTATCTGTTTTTTAATGGGATGTATTATGTCTGTGCTGATGCTAACAGAGCTGTCTGAAATCTCTGCAGCGTTAGCTAGTTTCTCTTCTAGTTCTCGTGATAGAAATCCCCTTTTTTGCTGTGGTTACTTCCATTTAGCTGATAATTTTTGTAACGTGTAGGATTGTTTGTGCTTTTAACATTTTATAATCTATCCTGCATGCTTATTGATAAACACATACTTTGCAAACGTGATGTAGTTGTTTTAGTGTGTTTATACTGTTGTTTTGTGGTGTCTCCTGTTTAAAGGCCCAGCATGGTGAATACATGGAGCAGTGCAGCAGCTTTGAGTTGTAAGTAGTGATTCAGTGCATCGCCCCGTCTTTCTGCAGAGTTTAACTCTATTAATGTCGTTTCTCATGTTGATGATTAGCTTCTTATCTTTATTTCAAGACAGGGGTGCTCAAGTGCAACTATCCTGCACCTTTTTGATGTACCCCATTTTTAACACACCTGAATTAAATGAGTGGCTCCTTATTGAGCCTTTAGATTCAGGTGTGTTAGGGAAGTGATACATCTAAAAGTTACAGGGCGGTAGCTCTTGAGGGCTGGACTTGAGCGCCTCTGCTTTAAGAGGTTTTTCTAATGGCCAAATGCACTTCTGGTTGTTAATAGAGGAGGAGACTGGAGGATTTCCAGCTGTAACATAAACCGATAAAATCTTTCCAGTGGAAAAATTCAGCTCCTGATTGCTGTTGAGAGGATTTTGTTGGCTCGAGTTATTAAATAACCAGAAAACCCCAGGTTTGTGGTTTCCTGGTATAGTTTCTACCTGAAATAGTTTAGTTTTTTTAGGAACTGTAGATAGCAGCTTCAAATGACCAAAGCTGCAGCTCAAACTCTGCTGTTTTTGCCCAAAAAATTTCAGATTAATAAAACAAGTCATTTTATTTGATTCAAATTTATACTGGGCCAAATTAAATCATTTATACTGGGCCATATTACAACATAAATAATGGCAAGATAGTTTGCAGACAGTTTAAAAGCGGAAAAAAGAAACATCATTGTGATGTGCTCCCTGAGGATTACCGAGGACAACAGTACATCATGAAATACATACGTGAGAATTTCTCATAAAGTAAGTAGATTGAACATTAATTTGATTCTATCCCCTACATGAGTCAAATGTTTTATTTATTTATTTATATATATATATATATATATATATATATATATATATATATATATATATATATATATATATAATATACACTGTTAGGATATAAAATATTTGAATGTCCCATTATATAACTAAAATAAATAAAAAATAGTTTTATTTAATTCAATTCAGTTTATTTCTATAGCACCAATTCACAACACATATCATCTCAAGGCACTTTACAGTTCACCAGATCATACAGTCAGATTGTTTCAAAGTTTTCCATCTAAGGAAAACCCGTTGATTGCATCGACTCAAATGCAATCCCTCACACTAAGCATGCTTTGAGCGACAGTGGAGAGGAAAAACTCCCTTTTAACAGGAAGAAGGCTACAGCAGAACCAGGCTCAGTGTGCGGCCATCTGCTGATGCCGACTGGGGTTCAAGGAGACAGAAGCAGAGACACAAAAAGCAGCTGTAAAAGGCCAGGAAACACACAGCCAGGCAGATGAGCTGCGAGCCAGCTCCCATGTCAGAGGACGAAGAGAGCACATCCAGCCAGTCACGGTCAGAGAAACAGGACTACACTGAAAAACAGGCCACGCTCAAACATCTATAAACAAGGGTGTTGATGGCAGCAGCAAAGCTGACATTTCTCTCCAATATGGAGTCACAGCCAAAGCGGAACAGACCAGATGAAGCTACTATGAGAAAAAGCAGACAGAGCATAATGTTAGGGACTGAATCAACAAATTCTGCAGAGTGGGAGAATAGAGATAGAATGAAGAAGAATTATGTGTCTCTATGTCCTCCAGCAGTCTAAACCTATAGCAGCGTAACTATAGAGATAGCTCAGGATAACCTGAACCACTCTAACTATAAGCTTTATCAAAAAGGAAAGTTTTAAGCCTAGCCTTAATAGTAGACAGGGTGTGTGCCTCACGGACTAAAACTGGTAGTTGGTTCCACAGGAGAGGAGCCTGATAACTAAAAGTAAAAAATGTAATAATGGATATAACTTAACTTTATACCCGTAGATAGATGTAAAGTAAATATATGTATTTTTAGGGGTCTCCTGTCTATTGGTGGTTATTGTTGGGGTCACAGGCTGGAATGTTTGGGATGATCTACTAGTAGGAACGGGGGGTGTTGGAAGTTGACCTAGCAATATTAAAACTTGAGCCACCTTGGGAGGTAGCAATAAGCCTGTGACGACAATGTAATTTAAAGGCTAATAAAGGATTGTGGAACAATTGTGACGTAAGCTTCTTTCACAAAGCTGGATTGAGGCACATTTTCCCCACATCCGTGTGTTTTGGGAAATGATGAGGAAAGCAGAGCAGGTGAGTTACTCAGAGGTCAACATCAGCTGACTGGAATAGAGGCATGCTGCTCCGTGGGGCGAAGGAGGGAAGCAGTGGCCATATGTGCTTTGTGCAACAAGTCAGATGATTTCAAATAAGACTCAGAAAATCTTAAAGAGACGACAGAATACTGCAGGTTTATACTTTCAGTTTGGTCTGTGGTGATGGATTTCCCTTGGCTTGGTCTTTTCTCTGTGTGACGAGAGACAAGTTACCAAACTCAACGAATGGTTCGAATTAAACTAAACAAAGTAAAGAGCTGAAAGCATCTGGACCGTGACACACAGATCCACCAGATCCACTGAAAAAAGTCTAACATGTAACTGTTCATTCAAACTAATGCTTTTCACTCTAAACTAGATCAAATTATTGATTTGATTAGGTAAATAATTCTTTTTGGATTTTGAGACATCCAGTTTGATTTAACCTGAACTAAATACACGTAGAAAGGACCCCAAAAAAAAGTTTTTGATTTCTCTCAATATGTATATATTTATTCGTGGCCTGCAGGTAATTTTTTTTGTGTGAGTTTATGTGAACTGCGCTTTGCATGCAGTCACAGCACGTGATCCGGGATCTTTCTGCACAGAGTTTGCATGTTCTCCCTGAGCATGCGTGGGTTTTCTCCGGGTACTCCAGCTTCCTCCCACGATCCAAAAACATGATTTTTAGGTTAATTGGCTTGTCTAAATTCTTTTAAATTTAGTTAGTTAGGTTGGTCCAATGTCAATATACCTTATTTTCACAACCATAAGGATCACCGTACTAAAAGGCGCAGTCTCAGTTATGTGTGCCATTTCTGTATTTAACACACACATAAGGCGCACAGGATTATAGGGCGCGGGTTTTATATACCGGTACATGTCCTCTACTACGTTTAAATACTTCTACTGCGTATTTAAAAATAGAGCGGGAGCAAAACTGAGTATGTTTGTGCTTTATTCAAGTATTTATTACAAAGTATTAATCAAACCCATCAAAGTCATCATCTTCTGTTTCTGAATTAAACAGCTGCACTAAATCAGACATGCCAATTTCCCCTTCTTCGCTGTCAGAGTCACTTTCCGTGCCGTGCAGCTCCTCGGAAATGATGCCGGCTTTTGCGAAAGCTCGAACAACAGTGCCAGCAGACGCGTTAGTCCAAGCATCAACAATCCATCCGCAAACGGTGGCGTAACTTGCCCGGCGCTGCCTTCCACTTTTCGTGAAACTGTGGTCTCCGTCGGTCATCCATCGCTCCCACGCCGCTCGCAGCCTCACTTTGAACGGCCGGTTCATACCGATGTCGAGCGGTTGAAGTTCCTTTGTCAGACCTCCCGCAATAATAGCGAGCGCAGCGTTCATTAGTTTCACCATGTTTTTCACATCGGCTGTGAGATGGGCACGCATGGAGTCACAGATTAACAGCGATGGTGTCCGCGGAAACTCAGCTGCGTCTTCTTCACCTGTCGGAGTTCGTTTTCCATCTTCCTCCACTTGCGAGCCATCGTTTCATTAATCTTGAACTCTCTTGCGGCTGCTCGATTTCCATGTTCCTCTGTGTAGCTGATAGCCTTCAGTTTAAACTGTGCTTCATAGGCGTGTCTCTGCCATTTTCAGGGTTGTTAAGACAACAGTGTTCTGCATAAAGCACATACCTGTTCTTTTATACACAATCCACGCCCACACTTCCCCCTTTAAGGTTCTCTCGTCCGCAGTAACAACACATAGGGCGCACCGGACTATAGGGTGCGCCACACATTTTGAGGGGAAAAAAAGACGTTTATATGCGCCTTATAGTTGAGAAAATACAGTATTAGTTTGGTTCGTCCACTGAAATGTTCAGAAAATCATTTGGAACACAGCATTATCAGGTCGTAACAAGCGATTAAATTCAGATTCTGTGAAGTCATATATTTTAGATGTGATATCTGGACATCATTTTTGTTAGTTTGAGCAAGGTTATACTTTTTCCAGTGAACAGGCTGAACAGATCCCTCGGTGAAAAAATGAAATCAATCATTCATTTTCAGATCCTGCTTCAAGACCATTTTGATTTCACTCCAGTATGATCAAAATCAAGTGATAACATGCTAGTACTGGATGATGTTGTCCACCTAAAGGAAGAGCAGCAGATTGCATTTAGCCTTTGACTCTGCAGCAATCCCTCAACCAGAGTGAGCAGATGGCTCAATAGATCCTGTTTAACGGGAAGAAGCCTCCAGCAGAACCCGGGTCATTATCAGTGACCATTTGCTCAGAGCCACCAGGAGGACCTGTTGGAACAAATCTGGATGTTTGAACTTGCTTGTACCTGTTTCTTTTGTGTTTGTCACTCTGATCTTTCAATGTTTTTTTTGCTTTTGTTTTGTTTTGTTTTTTCCAGTAACATGGACGGTTGTGAGAAGTTTGAAATTTCCGAGAACAGCGTGAACAAGGGAACGGAGCAGATCGGGCCGGAATGTTTCGAATTGCTCAAAGTTTTGGGAAAAGGTGGTTACGGAAAGGTGAAGCCTCTCAGTCTTTACTGTAAACATTCTGATCAGATACTTCTTTTTAAACTGTTTTTGTTGTTTTTAATACATCCTAGCCACACTTTACTTTAGGAACTTTTCTTCAAACTACTAATTTGCCCTGAATAGCTGTGGGCCGTTTGCTTTGCCTTTACTGGAAGATGCTAAAGATGAAGGAATGTGGGGGCGAGGGTATGGCAGTAGTCTAGAAATCCAATCCAAGCTGGTTGGGGGGGATTTTTACACCAAGTGGGTTTGTTACAGGAACTCTGCAGAGTTTGACATGTCATGGTTGTTTACGAACGGTTCCACCATCTCAATATTTGTGTTTATGGTTCCAAAATGCTTGGATCTTTCTAACTGTCTCATCTCACATTCATCACTTAGCAAAATTATTCACAACTCCTGAATTAGATTACATTTTGTTCCAGCTAAAACCATAAAACCTTTTATTTAATTTTTTTGCATAATTATGAAGTGGAAAAAGCTGCATGCAGTTGATTCCCCTGAATAGAGATCAGTGAGAAGTCGCCGTATTAGTCAACAAAGTTCCTCTGTGTAAAATTCAACTAGGGTTGAAGCAATTAATCGGATTAATCTTGATTAATCGATTATTGAAATAATCGTTAACTAATTTAGCTGACAGAGCGACCCACTAAGACCAGAAATTATATCAAAATTGTTAAAAAAAATATGTAAACATTTTGCCTTTAAGATAAAAAAAAAAACTTTTTCATATGTCAGTATACTTTATCCAGAACTTCTCAAGTGGAAAAGTTTTAGTTTTAACTGGTTTAATTTAGTAAAAAAAAAAAAGTCATTCAAAAAAATCTTTGGCTATTCAATTATTAATCGATTAATTAGAAAAATAATCGACAGATTAATCGATCTGCAAAGTAATCGTTAGCTCCAGCCCTAAATTCAACCTGAGATTCAGTCTCTGTGATCACATGTGCATTTCTTTCATTAAAAGAGGGGCCCCACAGTCTGCCACCGTTTGTATAACGGCACTTTGATCTTTTAAATTTCAATTCAATTCAGTTTATTTATATAGCGCCAAATTCACAACACATGTCATCTCAAGGCACTTTAAAGTTCACCAGATCATACAGTCAAATTGATACAAAGTTTTCTATCTAAGGAAAACCAGTTGATTGCATCGACTCATTAACTCAAATACAATCCCTCACACTAAGCATGCTTGTAGCGACAGTGGAGAGGAAAAACTCCCTTTTAACAGGAAGAAACCTCCAGCAGAACCAGGCTCAGTGTGAGCGGCCATCTGCCGAGGCCGACTGGGGTTCAAGGAGACAGAAGCAGAGATACAAAAAGCAGCTGTAAAAGGCGGCCCCGTCCAGGAAACACACAGCCAGGCAGACGAGCTCCAAGGCAGCTCCCATGCCAGAGGACGAAGAGAGCACATCCACTCAGTCACAGTCAGAGAAACAGGACCACACTGGAAAACAGGCCGATCTCCAGCATCTATAAACAAGGGTGTTGATGGAAGCAGCACAGCTGAAGTTTCTTTCTAGGATGACGTCACAGCCAAACAGGAACAGACGAGGCAAAGCTACTCTGAGGAAAAGCAGAGAGAGCAGAAGGTTAGAGATTGAACTAACAGATTCTGCAGAATAGAATAGAGAGAGAATGAAGCAGAATAATGAAATAAATCAATGGCCCAGTAAAGTTAAACCCCCTGTAATACCTTGCTGATTTAGCCAGCGTATGCCTGACATCCCAGATTCTCAGAAAACGCTGCCATACGCTGAACTTTCTATGTATTTTTTCAATTTTGTCCACATACATAGGGTATTCTTAGTCCAGAACTTATGTCCAACGACAGTCTAGCTTTTGCATAACGCATGGCAGGATAATGCAATGCACCCTAAGCCATTCAGCCTGGATAAAAAGATTTCTTTGATTGCGGTATTAACCTAGCTGCCGTTTACCGCCCGCAAAAAAAAAAGGAATAAATGGTTTATTAGGAAAGTAGCGGGGAACTCTCCCAACAAACATAGGGTATCTTCCCAAGAATAAAGTCACTCTAAAGCTGTGCTAATCTCAGCCACTGGAAAACTAAGAGGAGTTGAGGAGTTAAATTCTCCCTTACATTAACATTTGTATCCGTACAAAAGCTTGAAAATGACTCGTGTTCTTCGCTTCGCCGCAAAGTTCTGAGCTCCTGTAGTGTTGAACATTACTCGAAAGTCTTGTTCTTATCGGTTTCATCTTTACGATAACAAAGAGGGCTTCTCTTCGGATCCCCCTTCTTCTTGTCTTTAGCAGCAATCCATTATACAGGTGCTGGTCATAAAATTAGAATATCATGAAAAAGTTGATTGATTTCAGTAATTCCATTTAAAAAGTGAAACTTGTATATTATATTCATACATTACATACAAACTCATATATTTCAGATGTTTATTTTGTTTAATTTTGATGATTACAAATGACAACAAATGAAAATCTCAAATTCATCATATCAGAAAATTAGAATATTGTGAAAAGGTTCAAAATTGATGGCCCCTGGTGCCACACTCTAATCAGCTAATTAACTCAAACCACCTGCAAAAGCCTTTAAATGGTCTTTCAGTCTAGTTCTATAGGCTACACAATCATGGGGAAGACTGCTGACTTGACAGTTGTCCAAAAGACGACCATCGACACCTTGCACAAGGAGGGCAAGACACAAAAGGTCATCGCTAAAGAGGCTGGCTGTTCACAGAGCTCAGTGTCCAAGCACATTAATAGAGAGGCGAAGGGAAGGAAAAGATGTGGTCGAAAAAAGTGTACAAGCAAGAGAGATAACCGCACCCTGGAGAGGATTGTGAAACAAAACCCATTCAAAAATGTGGGGGAGATTCACAAAGAGTGGACTGCAGCTGGAGTGAGTGCTTCAAGAACCACCACACACAGACGTATGAAAGACAGGGGTTTCTGCTGTCGCATTCCTTGTGTCAAGCCACTCTTGAACCACAGACAGCGTCAGAAGCGTCTTGCCTGGGCTAAAGAGAAACAGGACTGGACTGCTGGTGAGTGGTCCAAAGTCATGTTCTCTGATGAAAGTAAATTTTGCATTTCCTTTGGAAATCAAGGTCCCAGAGTCTGGAGGAAAAGAAGAGAGGCACTTCATCCACGTTGCTTGAAGTCCAGTGTAAAGTTTCCACAGTCAGTGATGGTTTGGGGTGCCATGTCATCTGCTGGTGTTGGTCCATTGTGTTTTCTGAGGTCCAGGGTCAACGCAGCCACATACCAGGAAGTTTTAGAGCACTTCATGCTTCCTGCAGCTGACCAACTTTTTGGAGATGCAGATTTCATTTTCCAACAGGACTTGGCACCTGCACACAGTGCCAAAGCTACCAGTACCTGGTTGAAGGACCATGGTATCCCTGTTCTTAATTGGCCAGCAAACTCTCCTGACCTTAACCCCATAGAAAATCTATGGGGTATTGTGAAGAAGAAGATGCAATACACCAGACCCAACAATTCAGAAGAGCTAAAAGCCACTATTAGAGCAACCTGGGCTATCATAACACCTGAGCAGTGCCACAGACTGATCGACTCCATGCCACGCCGCATTGCTGCAGTAATACAGGCCAAAGGAGGCCCAACTAAATACTGAGTGCTGTACATGCTCATACTTTTCATGTTCATACTTTTCAGTTGGCCAACATTTCTATAAATCCTTTGTTTTTATTGGTCTTCAGTAATATTCTAATTTTCTGATATGATGAATTTGAGATTTTCATTTGTTGTCATTTGTAATCATCAAAATTAAACAAAATAAACATCTGAAATATATGAGTTTGTATGTAATGTATGAATATAATATACAAGTTTCACTTTTTAAATGGAATTACTGAAATCAATCAACTTTTTCATGATATTCTAATTTTATGACCAGCACCGGTATTTCTAAATTTATTGGCAGTTCCTTGCCTACATTTTAAAAACATCTAAAATCTGAAGGCAAGAACAGTGTAGAAAAACATGGGATATACTTTCCTGGGGAAAAGATCCCCCATCAGAGCAAGAAGGAACGTTAACTAAACTCTCTGGCTGTAATGACTTCGCCTGTTATTAGTAGGTGTGCTCATTAATAACCACAGGTTTATTCAAAGCTTTTCTACCAGCAGGAAGCATCATTTATAGCTGGCAGGTCCTGAATGTACGTTTTATCATTGCTGGTTGCATTGAAAGCCTGAGGGGCCAAACTCGCCACGAGTCACCTGTGCAACTTGTTCTGCAGCATCCTCAGAGGTGCAGAAGGTTGTCGTTCCGTATAGTTTAAGATCTTTGGTTTATTTTATTCCTGCTAGTACTGAGAAGATTCATCAGATTAATTATGATGAATCGGTTATTGAAATAATTGTTGACTAATTTGGCAATGATATGGCACACAGACTCTATAACAGGTCATCTTCTGAAGCAATAACCTACTTGCAGCAGTAATTGATAGAGAACTACAAAAACTATTAACTTGTTTCATTTAAGATGCATAAGTACATACATTTTAAATGTTTTTTCCTTTCTAATGAATTTAAAATCAACATAAAGGTTTTCTTTTCAAAATTTCAAAAATTTTGTATTTAGAATTATTACCTGAAAGTATCTTTTAAGCTTAACTGATAATCGAATACTACAATAATCAAAAACTGCAGTCCTAATTCCTGCTGGGAATCTTATAGCAGATTTTAAATCACTGATTTTTAAACATTAAAAATGAGCCTCACTGATTGAAATCGACTCCGTCCTTCCTTTCCATCCTGTTCTTTGGTTTTCTGTGACAGACATCATTTTCTACCAGTATGGTTCTGCCAAATGGTGCCACCTGCTGACAACAATCAGCACCTGCAGCATTTCTGAAATTGTAACATGCTGTTCAATCAGAAATACTTATTACAAAAGACAAAAGAAAAACCTTATTGAATCTTAGGGTGGAACACATTTGGAAAGCTTTCACTGGTTTATGTGCTGGAGGCGTTCTGTCAACGTCAGACTGACTGGCATCTTTCCTTCAGGTCTTTCAGGTCCGGAAGGTGACCGGGGCCGCATCTGGGAAAATCTTTGCCATGAAAGTTTTGAAGAAGGTCAGTGGATTTACTTTATATTTCAATCGTTTCCTTTTGGTGTCAAAGGCGAACTCTGGTAACCCGACCAGACAAGACAGCCTGACACGGAGCGCTAGTCTGTCTGATAAGGCTCAGTAATCTAAAACCGATCAGACCAATCAGTCCAATCGATATCAGCTCAGTTACGCATCTAGAAATGCATCCAGGTTGCCCGTGATTGTGCTTTTTAAAATGTGCAAAATTACATTTTTTTTATCACATTAATTACAAAAAGGTTACTTGGCTACTATGTGTAAAAGGCTAACAATTTATTTTCTGAGATAACAAAAGCATTAACATTAATATTCTACCCATCGGGATTTTTGGAGCTGATCACCAATCACAATAATCTCTGCTTCAGCACAGCTGGTTATAATGATTGCAGTAGACCAAAAGCCTGTTAATCAGCTTTCAATTAAAATCAGCTGTGCTAGAGCAAGGAAACCTCTAAAACCTGCAGGACAGGGGGCCTTGAGGACCGAGTTTGGGGATGCCTGCTCTAGAGGTTAGCCTCTGCTATCCGTAACCTTTCCCGGCTCATTCTCCTTAGCGGGCTTCTCAAAAACACAGCAGTCTTATGCTACATTCAGATATGCTAATTCATTTTTAAAAACCATGGAACAACTACAATGGACAACTACGATGAAAGGTTAATCGAGGAGGTTCGGTAGTACAACCACTTGTACGATGCCTCAGACAAATTATATAAAGATGCCAAGATCTCTGCCAAAACAAAGTTCTCGTGACCATCCGCCGAAGTTCTCACAAGTTCTCAAATAGGCTCCCCCTTGTGCTCCAGACCGACGGTGCAGAAGCATACCAGCAAAACTGGTTCACGACCAGACCCAAGCGACATTTGATGTGTGCCATTGCAGAAGTCTAATCTGCCCTTAAATATCCACAAATTATGACAGAATATTTTAGTACAAAGGTTGATGTTTAAAAAGGAATTGCAGGGGACCAGCCAAGATCCCGTCAAGGAATGTGGGGAAATTTTGAATGGCTACTACTGTATATTTGCTGTGATCAGTGGGTAAAAAGTAGTTTTAATGTTTCTAAGCATCGTCTGTGAAGTCAGTTCATTGAGGTTACGATCCTGCCTTAAAATATTATTTCACTAGAATAATAATAATCTTAATAAATAATACTTGAACTTTTATTGATCTGACATGAGAGAAATGTATCTCTGCTATTAACTTCACAGCTGCTTGTGAAGCATGTCACGCGCCTCAGAAGCTGATGAGGCGATGCTCCTGCTGGTCGAAATGTGCTGCAGGAGCTTTTGATGCGCATCAACCATTGACTTTGCACGTAAACGAGCTGCTTTTGCTGCCTCTATCACGTACGGTCTGAAGGTAGCATTAGTCCTAGCCAGCAGTAGCCTCTGCCCAGCATTCGCCATACTGTTTCCCCGGCAGATGTTTCGTTGTGCTCCTTCCATCCTCTGCAGTTAGCCTAGCTAGCCTCGGTCAGCTGTAGCCTCTCCTCAGTGCCATCGTTCCTTAACTCCAGAGGGGGGCACGGCTGGCCCCGTCACCCCGGTTACGATGCTCTCTCTCTCTCTCCTGTTGTTCTCACACTAATTACCTGCTGCGTCTGTCTTAGCTCAGGGTGCTGTGTCTCCTCTTCTCTTTGTGGTCTGGTTAATTTGTCGCCCTGTTTTGAGCACTCTGACCAAAACAAACATGGACCAAGGGCAGGAGAAAAAGATATGCGTCAGCTAAGAGAAAAGTTCATCAAAAATGCAACAACTGCTGCTTAAAATCAGTTTTCTTCATAGTTACCGGCCATAGATGATCACGTGAAAACGTGGCGATTGACCGGTGCTCGTCTACTTAACGTCCTTATCTCACTCGTCTGTCCTGGAAGTCTGTCCTCTTGTGGCTTGTTTTCTTGTTTGTCTGCTTTCTTATGTTTGATTTTTTGCTGTACTTTTATCGTGTAATCTAAAGAAAGAATCTACAAAATTGAGATAAACATGCACTGGAAAAATGATCTAGAAATAAGTAAAAATTCCTTAAATTAACTGTATTTACCCTTAATTTATGTAGGTAAATGAGATAGTTTGCCAATGGGATGAGTATTTTAACTCCTAAAATACGTTTTGTTGCATAATATGCTCTTGTAATAAAACAATGCAGTTGTGTTTTCTTATTTAAAATCTAAATTGTCTTATTTCACCAGACTGCTCCGATGATGATGATGATGGCGTTAGAGAATCAACCTCTCCAATTCTGTCAGAAAAGTTGTAAAATATATTTTATAAGATGCAGACGTAGCATTCTCCGGTGATTTAAGGATAGATCAGTACTTTTAATACAGTAATTAGATTATTTATGACAACCTGGATGAATTTCTGCACACATAAATGAGCTTATGGTACGGATCAGATAGTGAGAATTACTACAGTCAGCAGTAATTTTTTCTGGATGCCCTTTATTATCTCTACAAAGAGCTGTTTATATTGTTGACATTTTTATAACTGTTTCATGCTGGAACCTTTCTTTATGGAAAAAAAACTGTTTTTTGCGTCACATGCGTAGTTATCTGATTGGTTCCACTGACTCTGTGAGTCCTTATTCTTTCCAGACTAGAGCTCTGATGTATAGAGCTTATTGTAGATCCAAACCCAGCGGTGAATAATCCATAGATAAGCAGAAAAAGAGGCGGTTCTGTAATGTAAGTTTTCTTATGGAGAAAATATGTGTTGAGCCTGATGGGTCCTTAAAGACATCAGGTTTTTCTGGTTTATTCAGAGCAGCTCCTTCTTTCCTCTCTTATTAACACAGAACTAACCAGAACTGATGAAGGAATGAGAATAAATTCCTGAATCTGTTTTCTGTTGTTTCCAGGCCATGATTGTTCGTAACGCAAAGGACACAGCACACACCAAAGCTGAGAGGAACATATTGGAGGAGGTGAAGCATCCCTTCATCGTGGACCTCATCTATGCCTTCCAAACTGGAGGAAAGCTCTACCTGATTTTGGAGTATCTGAGCGGTAAGCATGGGGATGCTGTTAACGCAGGTCGTTATGTGCAAAGCTAACACTGGTTTTCTGCTATTATAAATGTGTTAAACAGATTCTTGTCCCTGATTGCTTTGGCTGCAGGTGGAGAGCTCTTCATGCAGCTAGAAAGAGAAGGGATCTTCATGGAGGACACGGCTTGGTGAGCATGTCCGTCACTGGTAACCGGATCAGAATAGGGCTGGGCAATTCATTGCATTTGCAGTATGATTGCAATTTTAAAAAATGCAATTTTCAAATCGCAGATTAGTAACTTATTGCTCTAAGGTTATTCTTTCAGCAGACAGCATTTTTAGAGTCTGTGAGTCATTACTCTAATCATTAGATTTGATTATTAAATAGGTCGACGGTTAATTTCAACAATTGATTGATCTATTTAACCCTTTCTGCCCTGGTCTGCACCAAGGGGTTAGAAATGAAGGTTTTATTTCCAGAATCACTCCCGAGTCTTAGGCCGTTTCTCAGTTCACAAGAAAGCAGGTACGGACTCGCGTCCTCGAGGGACTTTGTCTGTTTTCGGTTTGGTGTGTCACTACCCGATCCTTCCCGGAAGCACGATCCATCCTGCACATGCGCGTTTAGATATACATCCGGGTCGTCCTCAATTTTATTTTGTTAAAAAGATCTAAATGACATTTTCCCCTCCCCCCAAAATAGTAAACGTACTAGGGTTGTCACGATACTAAACTTTTCAACTCGTTACCGATACTAAGGAAAATATTCGATTCTCTATACCATTTTCGATACCAAAAGAATAAAAACTCCAAATTTCAACAGAAATATTTTGATTAATATTTAAAATACAATAAATAAATACAATAAACAATAAGAACAATATTTTGAGGTTGTTTGCTGTGCACAATATTAAGCAAGCTTGATAAAAAACTTACTAAATTAAAATTAAGTGTTCCTTCCTTGGCTATGCTTTACACACATAGCAGTGACACTAGCCAAACCAGTTAAGAAACAAAAATAATTCTCAGCAGCTGCACCTGTTACAAAAAAAGTCTGAAACTGAAAAGTGCGTAGAATTATTCAATCATACAGTGTTCAGAAAGTGCATTTTCCTCTATTTCCTATAGTATCGATACTTTTGACAACCTAAAGTGTACTAAAATATAATTTCTTAAAGGTTAATAATGTATTTCCTGAGAAAATAGATGGATTAAAATCCTTTCTCTTTTCTCACTCGTCTGTTCGCGATCTGCACCGGAACCGGAATCCTACGTTACTTTCAGGAAGCTAGCTTTTTCAGCTTTGGGTTTAAACATAGATCCAGACTTTTTGAGTTTTATTTTTCCATTCGTTTTAACCTTATGCTATATAATGCATGATCTAAAGAAAGAAACATCTAAAATGCAGATAAACATGATATAATCATATTTTGCTGGACTGCTCTGTCCCCATGATGACGTCAGACGAGCAGTTAAACAAAGGAAATGTAAAAAGCATCAAAATAGTCTCACAAAAGTCATAAAATATTTTTTTAAAGGCGGTATTAGCGGATCGGGTAGGGACAAAGTGTTCTTGTGATTTGGAGCAGTATTAGAGCAGAGGCTGATGATGTTTCACAAGTTACATGAGAACTCACAAAACACATTAGAAACGGCCTTAATCTGACGGGTTCACCTGAAGAGGTCTTTGGAGAACAGACATCCTCCTAATCTGAGGACTTGGAGAGCATTTCTTAGTCAGAATAGGAAAGTATTTGTAAATACTAAATGCTAAAATTGAATCTAAATTTCAAAGTATTATTTTTAAGGTGTGCATCCTTGTTTTTCAGCTGATCATAACGTCCCAACAGACCATTTAGCTTTTAAGGTGACCGTAGAGGATGCATTTCGCTTTTCATGGATGTTCATGATCAGGACTCTGTAGCTCTGCGTAAACAGCTGTTTCATTTGTTTAATGTTAATATATTTTTGTATGAAGTTTGCAATTTATTAAAATGAAATGAATACTGTTTGTGTTTAGTTGGTTACTTTAAAGACTATGACAGCTGTAGACCCAAAACGTTTTTCCCATCCCACCAGATTGCATCGTTACTGAAGCGTTTTTCTCTTGTCAGCTTCTACCTGGCAGAGATCTCAATGGCGCTAGGTCATCTGCACCAGAAAGGAATCATCTATAGAGACCTGAAGCCTGAGAACATCATGCTCAACAACAACGGTACGGAAAAGTCCTTTGGTTATAAAGTCCTGCAGTAGAGAGGTTATGGTCCCAAGCTTTGGCAGAGAGACCAGCATTTTAAAACCTGTATATGGTTTACTGAAGAACAATTACCAAAAACTTCAGATTTACCAGAACATCTGTCTAACATCAACATATATTGTTGGTGCTTTTAGTTGATTATATTTCACATTTAGTTTTTGAGACGCTGCTCTCAGTTTTAACCTTGTGGTTGTCATGACGCCCCATAAGGCTTGAAAAAGCAGATATTCTCCCTGAATAAAGCTTTATCCCCAGATTGCACATACTCCGTCAGCGCTCCGCCCCGCTCACGTACGTCGTGCAGAGTACTTGTCTGTCATGTTAATCAACAACAGCAGTTCCACATCCACCTCTACTCCTCTGGACGTCTCCGTCCACATACATCTTCTCCGTCCATCACCGTCAAAATATGGAGCCGAGCTATTTTTTGCTCCGGTCCGGACGGTTCAATATCCGCTATTGCAATCGCACCAAACAGGAAAAAGAACGTAGAGAAGATCCATTTTGACAAATTAACATATGGTGATGACAGATGAGTAACTACAAATTTGTGAATAATTGAATTTATTATTTATTAATGTAATTAATTTATTAATCAGTTACATTATTGGAAGCAAGCTATTGGTATTTCAACATACCAGGAAGCAGATTTCTCATCTCGATATAAATATTTTATACCGAAGAGCACATCTGACAGCTTCAAAACAAACTTCTTATCGCAGGCATGGATGAAGAGATGCTTTGTTTGGAAGTAGAGAACAAACATAGTTCATTAAAAACAATTTTAGATGATCCTAGTTATCCCTGTTACCAAAAATCCACAACAAAAAGAAGATATTTGGGCAGAAACTGAACATATGCTGATGGGGATTTATTTAATATGTCACATTAAATTTAGCATTCAGTTCTGCATGTTTTGCTCCTATTAATTTAATAATAACATTGCGCATGATCTCCTCGATCTCAGAGGAAGTCGGAGCGGAGTAAGGAGGGAGGAACAGCGGAGGCTGTAGGCTTTGCTTTGCGCAGGTGGTTTGGAGCGCAGCGGGGCGGTGATGGAGGAATGTGGGATTTCCAGCTTAGCCCAAGTCTTCTGCTCCGACTTCCTCGTACATCCAGGAAGATTGATCTCTGTGTCGTCCTGTAAGAAACACGAAGGAAAGTCAAGTCATAATCTGCTGGCTCTTATTCCAAGGAAGCTCTGCCATGTTTGCATCAGCATTTCCTCATGTTTGGAGCTGGTCCTAAGTTATAGATTAATGCCATAATATAACAGTTAATTGATTTATCGATCAACTAGACATTTACTGATAATAAATCATTTTCTTAAAGGCCCCAATTTTATCTTGTATCAAAATTATCTTTATTGTTTTTAAAGTAAATCATTAAATTTGTATCAAATTATTGAAATACTGACTAAAGGAATTAAAATATTTCTTATACATTACTGAACATGATAATTTGGAAGAAATAAAACGGAAACCTATTAGGTTTATGAAATAAAAAGTGTTACTGTCAGACTATTACCTCCTTGTTTCAATGATGTACTGCCTTTCACTTTTCTCCACCTTACATGGTGCCGTTCAGGCGATAGCTGTAGGAGTTTGTTGAGTATTTCTATTTACAAGTAGAAACACATAAAGTTAATTCTGAATTTCCATTAAAGACAACAACATTTCCCAGACCGGCACTCTGGATCGTGTCTGTTCATGTTTCTGTTCCTGAACGCCTCCCACTTACCTGGCATTACTTCTCTCACAAACACCAGTGAGTGCCTGCTTTAGAATGAACAGCAGCGCCCTCTAGTGGACAGGTGTAACAGTTCAGCATTGATAGAAATCCCCTCAAAGTGGACGTTATCAGTTGATCCATTGGAACAAATTTGACTCCAGTTTAGTCATTCTTTGTTTAGTTTCTGGTTTGCCAGCTCTTTTGTTTCTATGAAAAGCTACTTTGATTTCCTTCAGACGTAACCATTCCTAGCAGAAGAAAACAATCATTTCAAGCACTTCTTTTAATTCAACTGGTTCATATTTACATTGACAGGCATTAAAGTATCTCTTGTATACTGTACAAGAGATAATTATGCCCGTGGGTAAAAAAAATCACTCTAAAATAAATAAAAACATCAAAATTCCTTTTTGGTTTGTCAGCCAATGGTAGCAAAGGAGTGCTCTGATACTAACAGTATTAGCCAATCAGAAGATGAAGGGGGCGGGTCTTAGGAAAGCATGTATCTCCTCTCATCTCTTGCTCAAGTTGACAGGTAAATAGCACTTTTAATGTTCTCTAAATGCCAGCCTGAACTTCATCTACCATTATAAAAGTTCACCTTGTGAGTGTAGGTTTATTTAGAACCTGTTAAGGACTAACCTGACTCCGTCAGATGGATTTGCTCCGCATATCCATCTGGAAACCTTCCGTAGAAGTAATTTTGGGAAGGGGCGAAAATACTGGTTAGCTGATTGGCCTATGTTGGTGATAAACCAATCAGATCAACGAAGCATATGACAGAGCGACGACGAAAACACAACCACAAGCCAGGCACAAGCCAATTTATAGATCAAACTCTTGTCAAAACCAGTCGGGAGAAGAGCAAAAACATCTTTCCCTCTGAGAAAAGCCTCCAGAGCAGTGTTTTGCTCTTCTTACAGTGAAGAAACACTCTGTAATTCCGATAAAACTTGCTCGATAGCCACGCTAACGCTAGTTTCATCGGCTGAAGCCGCCATGTTCTTTAGACTGAACTGTCGCGCTTCTCGTTGCGTCACACCTCAACCCGCCTCAAAGCCAACGCTGATTGGACGTTCGTTTGGTGAACGGCTCCAAATTTTCTTTAACGAAAAGTAGCCAGACTGATCTGCGAATGAAACCTTGAAAGCTCGCGAGATCAGGATGGTCTCACGAGGCTAGTTAAGGACAACGCTCAGCAGCAAAACTGGATGTCAAAAGAAATGTGGTTCATGCAAGCGGTAGATATAGAAGCACTTTTGTCATCTTTTGGTCGTTTGTCTTCAATCATTTATGCATTTTATATATATATATATATATATATATATATATATATATATATATATATATATATATATATATATATACACACACACAAATATACTCACAAGACCATTTTGTTTTGCTTTAATCCCTGCATTTAAAGACATTGATTTTTCCCAGAAAACTTTCATTTAGATCAGCTCTCGACTGCTCTGCTATTCCCGTCTGACTACCTTTTAACTAACTCATGTATGAAATAAATTTTTATAGGCTGAACTTTCTATGTATTTTTTTTATTTTTGTTTTTCCAATTTTGGGCGTATACATAAAGTATTCATAACGAGTCCAGCACTTGTGTCCAACGACAGCCTAACTTATGCATAACACACGACAGTGATTGTGAAGCATCAGTTAAATCTGCTCCTCTCAGGCGCCCGTCTGCATAAAAAGATGTCTTTGATCGCGGTATTAACCTAGCTGCTGTTTACCGCCCACCAGAAAAAAAAGAATAATTAAAAAGAAAAAGAAAGAAAGAAGGTTTGCAGTCTCAGCAGATTCAGCATTATGTCTGCTAGGAAGTTTGTTGGTCGTAACGTATTTCAACGATCAGATAACTTACCTGTAACTTATGCCACACATATGGCATACATGGGCATACGTCAAAATTTCTCAATATACTTGCTGTATGTCACCGTGTGCCATTGTGTTTCAACGTGCTTCAGCATTCTCATAACTCATACAAAACATACGCATAAGTTATCCAACGTATCCCAGCGTTTTTGTTGTCAGGCATACGCTGATTAAATCATCAAGGTGTGACAGATGTCTTCTCTTTCTTTCTAGGACACGTGAAGCTGACAGACTTCGGTCTATGCAAAGAGTCCATCCATGATGGAACGTACACCCACACCTTCTGTGGGACCATTGAGTACATGTAAGGAAGATTGGTCTGATTATTAATCGATTTAAGCCTTGTCCTTCCTCTTGCTTCACGGTTTCCCACTTCTTTGCTTTCTTCCCTCCTCAGGGCTCCAGAGATCCTGATGAGGAGCGGACACAATCGCGCCGTGGACTGGTGGAGTCTCGGCGCCCTCATGTATGACATGCTGACTGGAGCAGTAAGTCTACACCCATCAGAAGATCTGTAGCAGAGTCTGAGTTTCTGACCAGCTTCTCTCTGTTAGCCTCCTTTTACAGGTGAAAACAGGAAGAAGACTATTGATAAAATCCTGAAATGCAAACTCAGCCTTCCACCTTACCTCACACAAGAAGCCAGGGACCTCCTGAAAAAGGTGAGCTGTTTAAACCCAGGATCCCCGAGCAACCTGGGAAGGATTGGAATTGGATTAAGACGGTTTCTAGGTTTAAATGAGGATGGAGAGCGTAGTAAAACTGTAAATGTGAGCGAAAAATGCACTTGAACCCTTTTCTTTCTTTTAACAGTGTCCTGTCTGGCAATGTGGCAATAAGAATAATTGTCTTGATGCCAAAAAGGGCCCACGAGATTTTACTTTCACAAGAGGAGCAGTACGGCTATCGCCATAGTGTTCCGCTTGATTTATGCATATAAATTATATTTAATATAATTCATGCAGGGAGTATTACAGATTATATGGACACTGCAATATAAGTAGAACAGGAAAGGAAAAACAGAAAAAAGGAGAAAAGATGAAAGAAAGAGGAGATAAAAGGGAGATAATGATAAAACATCTTCAGTCTGCTTCATCACCTGCAAAGAGATGTAGAAAGAACAGCACAACCAACAGATGTAAGAGATATAATAAAGGAACACCTTGATACTATCGCTGAAGTATAAGTATTATTATTTAATCTGACATGTATACTGTGGTAGCTGAAGAGAAGAATATGGGCTTTCTGTATGGAAGTGAATCTCTAAGTATCTGGAACCAAGCATGTAAAGATTATCCAAAGGAAAAATTCTTAATAGTGGTTGTGAAGAGCCGAAGACCTAAGAACCCTTTTCTAGAAAGCTGAGAGATTCCTTTCTATCTGTTTCCTTTAAGCTGCTGAGACGAAGTGCCTCATCACGACTCGGAGGTGGATCCGGTGACTCTGCTGAGGTCCAGGTAAACAGGTTCATCCGCTTCCTTCTGCTTTACCAGAGATGCACCAGAAAGAGAAAAAAAAACTGTGTTAGTGTAGTAAATGAAACTCTGTTTCTTCCAGGCCCATCCATTCTTCCGCTTCATAAACTGGGACGATCTCCTCGCTCGCAAAGTAGAGCCTCCCTTCAAACCCTTCCTGGTGGGTGTGGCTTCCTGTCGTCACAGCTTCTTCTCCATGGTTCCTATTCTTACAAAGAAAATCATGCGAGTTACAGATAAATCATCAATCTGACACTTTACTGATGTTTTCTTAGAAGCTTTTTTACCAGTAAATCCAAAGCGATGCTGTCTAGTAGAATTCAATGATCAGCTCCTCTAACTTCCTGCAGATTTATTCAGCTTTCTTCTTTCTGCAGCAATCAGCAGATGATGTAAGCCAGTTTGACTCCAAGTTCACCAGCCAGACTCCAGTAGACAGTCCAGATGACTCCACACTCAGCGAAAGTGCAAATCAAGTCTTCCTGGTGAGCATGTAGCGCCATGCAGAGCAGCAGGCGCTCAGCCTTACAGCTTAGCTTTCCTCATCCCATCTTCATTAATCAGGGTCTTATTAAGGAGCTTTTCAACAGAAAACAACTTCGGATGCCAAAATAATAGGATTGTTGCTGCAGGGGGAAAATATTGAGCTCTATTTGAAAAAAACAAACAAACAAATTAAAAACATGATCGCCTCCAGCAAGTTTGTAGTGGAGGCGTTTAACTCTGGTTTCAAACTTTGATTCAACAGCAGAATTTACAAATCATAACATTAACCCTTATATTGGCAGCTGATTGATATTTTGCCAAAAAAAAAAAAAAAAACGCCCATCAGCGGTCCTTCACACACAGCTATGCCAAGAGTAGGATGCTGCAGACGGGCTAACGTTAGCCCTGGCTGCCGTTAGCCTATGAGCTCCGCTGGTTGATGCAGTCTTCTAAACATCGGAACTTTTATTTTTAATTACGCATTAAATAAGTAAATGGTACACATCTAGTGAAAACTAGTGTCATTGGATGAGTCATATAGCGCAAACACTCATTGGTTTGCTAAAGGAAATCATCAGAAGCAAGCAGGTGTTCTTCAGACTGCAAACGTGAATTGTCTATGCCATGCTACAATGTAGGATTCAGAAAAAGATGTTGAAATGTCTGACAGGTCGGACGCAAGCGAGAGCGTATCGGGAGACGGAGACCAACAAGACCTCCCTCATCCTTGGCCCTATATCAAATAATTTTTTCAAATAGTTGAACAAATTAGCTTTCAATTCACTTAGTGGCATCTGGCTGTTTTTTTTAAAGGTTACTTTATACTTTTATGCTTTAAGTAGTTTTTGTCGCACATACTTTTTCACTTTTACTTGAGTAAAGAGGTCAAGTTGATACTTCAACTTTTACCAGAGTGTTTTTAAACTGCAGTATCTATACTTCTACTTAAGTAACAAATGTGTGTATGTTTGACACCACTGACAAGAACTAACCTGATAAAGAAATATTTGAGCAGATCCGGACAGATGAGTCGTTTAAATCCCCCCCCCGAATGATACCTGTTGTTTTCTTGTGTCCGTAATGGTTACCTCCAAAGAAAAGCAGCTTTTAAAACATGCAGAATAACCTGGCATGTTACGAAAACAGGCCGAGGACAATTAAAACCTTAAGTCTTCAACAGCCCAAATTTAAATTCATATCTACTCTTAAAATACAAAGAGTTTCAAATTTAGGTTGCTAAACTTTTTAATTTTTTTAATTTTAAGAGTTGTGAAAGTTTTAGTTTGCAGGAAAAAAAAAAAAAACAGCATCCCTCCTGCTTCTTTCTGTTTACGCTTTCATAAACGTTTGTGAATGATTTAACTTTAAATATTTATGAATAACTTTGTTGTTTTTGACTTTTTTATCTTGGGATAACAATTAAAAAAGTCATAAATCTTAAATGTTGCTGAAGAGTCTGCAGGTTTTCTACAAACCAAGCAGATCAGCTCTCTGTTGTTACGAGAAGCGGTTAATGTCTCCCATCTGCTGACCAAACCCCCGCTCTTCCTGGAAGCTTCTCTCCCTCTTCCACCAAATTGCATGTTATGGTTCACTCCAAGTTTTCATTGCTCATCATCAGCTGTGGCTTGTTTTTGTTTTTTTATATAAATCTGGTCTTTGAAGAGGTGGGACTCAGACGTCTCTGTGTTTTTTTTGTCCCCCTCCTTTGCCCCCAGGGTTTCACATATGTAGCCCCATCTGTGCTCGAAAACCTGAAGGAGAAATTCTCCTTCGAGCCCAAAGTCCGCTCTCCGCGGAAGTTCCCTGGAAGCCCAAGGACACCTGTGAGGTAAGCCTCCTGTTTTTGTCTTGAATTTTGTTGAATCGCCTCGATCATTGGAAAAGTTTTCCTAAACAAGTCTGCCCCCTCACTGATGACTCACTCGCTGACCTTGTAAATGTGGTTTGCTCAGCCTACATGCTGCTGTAAGGATTTAATATAGCAGTCTGTCTGCTGATTTCCCATCACTAGTTTGTTGTTTTCTTTTTAGCCGATTCAGATTTCTGTACAAAGCTTCAAAAACAATCTAAAAATGAGTGAAAAATGTCTTAAATTGAGTGTATTTACCCGTAATCTGAGCAGGTAAATAAGAGAATATGCCAATGGGATGAGCATTTTTACTCTTAAAAGAACTATGAAATAAGCTAGTTAGATAGTATGTACTTGAATTAATAGGCTGGAGTTTTTTGTTTCTTATTTTAAATGTAAATTGCCTTATTCCATTGGCAAAGTGTATCACTTAACTGCTTAATTCAAGAAACAATGCTTATTTTAAAAAGATAAAACTTACCGGTACTTCAATTTTTTGCAGTGACCTGCATCCACACAGGAAAAACGATCTAGATATAAGTAAAAAATGTCTTAAATTAAGTGTATTTGCCCTTAATTTGATTTGAGTAGGTAAATTAGATAGTTTGCCAAAGGAATGAGTATTTTTACTCTTAATATAAGATAACATGCACTTGAAATAAGACAATGCAGTTGTGTTTTCTTATTTTGAGTGTAAATTATCTTGTTCCATTGGCAAAATATCTCTTTTTACCTCATCGATCCAAGAAGAAATGCACTTGTTTTAAGGAAAAATGACTTATCTAGATTTTTTTCTAGTGCATTAAAACAAGGACTAAACGTGTGAAAACAGCCTTGATCAAATAAAATAATATTTGTCCCTCTGCTTCTGTGAAATGAGCAGTTTGTTCTTCGCCCCTTTGTGTCTGAATTATGAACCCTTATCCTACAGTTAGATGCAGAGCCTCAGTTTGGTTACTTTGAGGTTTGTTCTCTTTGTGATTCTAACAAATCTTGGTTCTTTTAAACCATCAAAAAATCAAAAATGTTAGGGCCCTGTCACACCTTGCTGATTTAGCCAGTGTTGCCCGACATCCCAGAATCAATTTTGGGCATATCTGAGTATTCATGAGTCCAGAACGTATGTCCTCTGACAGCCTAACTTAATGCATAACGCACGGCAGCATAATGCCCATCATTTCATGGATATTACGCACTATGCAGCATCAGTTAAAGCTCTGAGGGGAGAATAAATAGGAAGAAGGTTTGCCGTCGCAGCGGGTTCAGCGTCATGTCTGCTAGGAAGTTTGTTGGTGGTGGGCGTGAACGCAGGGCGGATCCATCACACTCACCTTCACTCTCACCCTATGATGGGGATGAAGTCTGGAGGAGAGTTACTCACAGGTTTTGGATAAGTTGGATGCCACAAATTTTGAGTAACCTGCACTTAAAGGTGCAGTAGGAGATCTTTTCTGATGCATTTTTTACCATGTGGCTTGAAGATCTCCCCTCAGCCGCTTAGCGAGCAGTGAAATAGAAGGTCTGGAAGTGAAACTAAAATAAATGGTCCCTGCTATAGTGAGAAATCAATTAATAACCTCAACCAATCACAAAACACAGTCCGTTATACACGATTGGTTCCTGACACGTCAGTCATGGTCGCCTGCTTGCCCCTCCCCCCTGTGCGCGTACACTGACACATGATCGAATCGACCCCCCAATGCTCGTGCAGGACGCCATGGCTGGAAGCTAGCCACTGTTATCCTACGTTCACACCTAAAGCAGCAGCAAAAACATGCTTGCTGCTTCATTTTTGATGCTTGTACAAGTTTAGTTCTGATGCGCGGCTGAAGCATCTTTGCTACTCTGGCTGTGCGGTGGTAAAGTAGGTCTGATGCGCGTTGGGCGGAGCTACCGTATCCTTTCTTTGCCTTGAACAATGGCAGCTATATTTGAGGCGCTGGAAGGCGTTTTTCATGTACTTAATCCAAACTGCAGGCACCAGGATAATAAAAGTGAACATGTTTTGCTGGCAGATTTCAGCATTTTAAGTTAATTTAGGCGTTAATAAAGTGTTTCAGGGGAGTGATAATAGCGCTCTGCATCATCAGTGCTGCTCGAGACGCTCTGCAGACAGCAAGCGCGTTCATGTGTTTTGAAGGCGTGCTTTCTACGGATGGTCTGAAGGGAGAGGCGAGGTTTTGTATGTTCAAAATATAGCATGCTTGAAACGTTTTTCCAAGATCTCCTACAGCACCTTTAACGTATGTCAACGATCAGATAACTTAGCTGTAACTTGTGGCTCACGAATGGCATACGCTGGCATTAGTCAGGAAATGTCGTATCTCAACGTGTGCCAGTGTGTTTCAGCGTGCTTCAGCGTGCCATGGCAACAATTTGTTAGATTTTCCCTACGTCAGGGATACTCTGGAATAAATCATGTAGGTGTGACAGAGGCTTCAGACAAAACTAAAACAATGCAGCGCCTCAATAAAAGCGTCATTTAACAGAAAATGATCTGCCCTGATTCTTTTTAGTTTCACTGTAATGGATGATCTGGACCAGATATAAACCGATACAGTTTTGTTTTTCTTTATCTGCAGCACTGTCTGCCATCACCTACCATTTTGGAGAGGTGCAGCAGAGTGTCTGCGGAGTGGGCGGGGCATATCTTTGTTAACTGCAACACACACGCAGACAACCTGGTTTCTGAGTATAAACCAGCCTGTAGCCGTCTGAATGATTTTTATTTTTAAATTTTTGCATTAATCAGTGTGATTTTGTTTGTCGGAGTTCTGCGTGGGTCTGTAGCCGTAAAGCAGTGATCTGTGCCTCAGTCTCCAAGAACAGCTGTTTCTCAGCTCAGACCAGTTTTAGTTTGTTTTTTGTGTTTTTTTTCCCGTCTGTGACGGCAGATAATAGTTAGCAGGTGTGAACCTGTTGAGCTGTCTGCATCTTTGGATGAGCTGTAGTGAGATCCTTCCCCCCTCCTATCCTGAAAACAGCTTCCTTCATTCTGCATACAGGAACAACTTTCCCTCTGAAGGGATCTTTATCACCTGGTAGCAGATTTGGAGCATCATGAATCTCAGAGATTCAGGGATAAAGAAAAACTAAAATCCTCCAGTTGATTCCTGTTTATCTTTCTTTTCCACAGCTGAAAGGCTTTAGTAGAACTGAGGGACATTTTCTCATTTAATCGCTGAATATTTATTGCTTCTCGTCTGCCCTGTTATTCCACAGTCCAGTGAAGTTTGCGGGAGGAGACTGCTGGCCCCGCGGACCCCCGCTGACGGACACGCCGCCGCTGCTGTCCCCCAGCAGCTCTATAGACCAGCCCATGGAGGTCTCCACCATGGAGCAAATGGACACAAGTAGCGGCCTCACCACGGAGACGTCGGCTCCTCTTCCTATCAGGCATCCCTCAGGGCTCCAGGCGGGGCCTTACAAGAAGCAGGCGTACCCCATGAACTCCAGGCGGCCTGAGCACCTGAGGATGAACCTATGACGCTCGGCTCACCAATGAACTTCTCTCCTCTTTGTTGTTTTAAAATAATTTGTTAGTTTCTAAGACTTTGATGTTGATGCTGATCACCAGCTCTTCCAGCAGCGCCTTCTTCCAAAGTCTGCTCAGCCTGACCTCTGGGGTTCCATCTACTGGGCTTGGGCGGGGGTGGGGAGGGGTCTGGGTCGAGCTCAGCTGGCATTATACGATTGTACTGGTGCTCTTTTATCTCCAGATCTGCGCTGTTTTTTCCTACTGTGGAGTCCCATTTTTTTGTTTTGTTTTGTTTAGAATCAGCGTTTTTTTTTTTAGGTCTATTTTCTATGAGCAGGTGGATCTCCCTGGATGTGGAATGATGCGTATAAAGACAGAACCTTCCCATGGACTGAACGCAGGCTCTGCTGCGTAACTGGACCGTTTCCCGCCTGCAGGAGCCGCTGCTCACCTGCTTTTGTTTTGAATGTAAAAACCGTCCAAAAGCCTTTTTTTAAATAATTGTTCTTTTATTTTTCTCCTCCATCACTCCAACCTAATCTCACTTCCTGTCACCGACACTGATCCAGGCTGATTTTTGCAGAATTTTGGCGTTTAAAGAAGAATTTCTGTCAGACTGACTTTTAGGCTTTGTTATAAAACTGGAGCGAAGCCATTTGACCCTCCTGTACGAAGCTGACCTCCAGTCGGAATCATCCGACTGCGTTTCTGGAAACGTTTGGAAAACTGACAAGTTATCAATGTTGAAAGTTTCATCCTTACTTCATATATGTCCTTCAAATACCAACCTTCTTTTTTATATATATATATAAAACTATCATTTGCATCATTGATTGTTTTGTGAGCAGCGATCAGGTCTGCTGGACTAAAGTGACTCTTTTATTCCGGTAGTTTTTAGTTTATTAATTTATTTTTAAGCGCTGTTTTGCTGCCACTGAATTGTGCACTCTATGCAAACGGATGTATTTATAATTTAGTATAACGCGCTACAGAATGTTGGGTCTTTTATCCCCGTAAGGATGTACAAAGTTTATTTCCACTTCACTCCTCTCCAACCTCTGATGGAGCTGCTTTTTATTTGGAATCGGCTTTAATGTTTTACAGTATTTATTTTGTGTCACATTATCACATTCCTAAGAGATATGTCAGATTTTTTTTAATATTTTTTTATGTTTGAACATCAATTGTTTACTTCTTAAAGTAAATGGGAGTGGCATTGTGCCTTTGAGTTACAGTGTACATGATGTATTTACAGTTAGCAGTAAATGGGAATCATTTTTCTTTAAAAACCGGGATCAGCTGTTTGACTCTGCAGAGATCACAGGAGCGGCTCAATTTTTTTCATTTCTGAGGAAAAACCATCCAGCTGATTTTCTGGAGACGTTTGTGGTTATTTCTGGTTGCATTCAGGTTTAGGAATGAAAAGTTGTATCATGTACATACTGGAATCCAATAAAGAGGTTCTTTGTAAACCCTGCTGCTGGCGAGCTGGAATATTTAGAACACGCTGGAAATAAACGCTCTGGATTAACCAGGATTTAGAGATGGAAAACAAGGTTTTTATTTCACTTTCAACATTTCAGCTTCATTGGAACGCATGATGGGAATAAACTAAAATGTGGTTTCATGAGTTTGCAGGGAATATCTGGTAGAGGCATTTTTAAGATCGTATCCTAGCAACCAGACTTTGCAAATATTTCTGCAATTATCTGTAAAAATTACTCGGGTTATTGATGCGACACCACCGAGTCAGTTTTTCTTTATTTCCCCTTGATTTGAGCAGGAAAGTACAAAAAGTACAATTTGACAACAGAAAAAAAAATTTTTTTTATTCTTAAAATAAGAAAAAACTTTATCTGATTTTAAATGTATTATAAATGGGCAAAAAAGGGCAAAGATACTAATTCCATTGATAGATCTTATGTATCGACAAAACTTAAGGGCAGATCCGTTTTTGCAGTGCATCAACCTTCCCCAGATCAGATTCTAAGTCAGTCTGCTCTGAATAATCTCCCACAACAACCTGAACTAAGTCAACTTCCAATTGGCACACAGTCCCATAGCATGATACTTCCACCACCATGCTTCACTGCGTCCAACAGACCTGGAGGAATCGTGCTGAACAGTTAACATTGGGTTCATCAGATCAAACTTTCTCCTCATGCTTTCAGAGACTTTACATCTATCAGGACGGTAAGTTTTATTTTTCATATGTTTTTTTTTTTTACCGTACAGTCCATAGGTGTGAGGATTCTGTTAGATGAGCAGAATTAGACCGAAATCCCTGCAGCTCCTCTGAGGTTATCAACCTTTAAAACGTTAATCTATCAGACCAGCTTTCTTCAGGTTTGGAGGAACGTCCAGTGTTTGGAACATCAGCGCTGCCTCCTGTTTTCCACTAGAGCAGGGCTGTGATGTGTTATCTGCATTAGAAATGGCTTCTCATAAAGTTTTTTTTTTCAATTAAAGATTTTAAGTTTAGTTATACACTGCAAAAAATGACCTAAAAAATTGTGTACCCTTGATTTGAGCAGCTAAAGAAGTTCTGGGAATGGGATGGGTGTTTTTTTGTTGTTGCACTTATTAAAAGATAATTAGATATCATTAGAAGGCTGGACTATTGTAATTCTTTACTATCAGGAAGTCCACAAACTGTAGTTAAAATCCTTCAGCTGATCCAAAATGCTGCAGCCAGAGTTCTAATGAAAATTGAAAAGAGAGATCATATCTCTCCTATCCTGGCTTCTCTTCATTAGCTTCCCGTTAAATCCAGAATAGAATTTAAAATCCTCCTTCTCACATATAAAGCCTTAAATGGCCAAGCTCCATCCGATATCAGAGATCTGATTGTTCCTTATGTTCCTAACAGAACACTTCGCTCTCAATCTACAGGTTTACTAGTGGTTCCTAGAATTTCCTTTTTGATAAAGCTTATAGTTAGAGTGGCTCAGGTTATCCTGAGACATCTCTATAGTTATGCTGCTATAGGCTTAGACTTCTGGAGGACATAGGGACCCCCATTTCATCATTCTGCTTTATTCTATCTCTAGTTTCCCACTCTGCAGAATCTGTTGGTTCAATCTCTTAACAGTTTGCTCTCTCTTTTTCTCATAGTAGCTTCACCTGGTCTGTTCCTGCTTGGCTGTGACTCCATCCTGGAGAGAAATATCAGCTGCGCCCTTTCCAACAACACCTTTGTTTATAGATGTTGGAGATCAGCCTGTTTTTCAGTGTAGTCCTGTTTCTCTAACTGTGACAGGCTGGATGTGCTCTTTTCATCCTCTGGCATGGGAGCTGCCTTGGAGCTCGTCTGCCTGGCTGTGTGTTTCCTGGAGGGGCCGCCTTTTACAGCTGCTTTTTGTATCTCTGCTTCTGTCTCCTTGAACCCCAGTCGGCCTCGGCAGATGGCCGCTCACACTGAGCCTGGTTCTGCTGGAGGTTTCTTCCTGTTAAAAGGGAGTTTTTTTCTCTCCACTGTCGCTACAAGCATGCTTAGTGTGAGGGATTGCATCTGAGTCAATGAGTCGATACAATCAACTGGTTTTCCTTAGATAGAAAACTTTGAATCATTTTGACTGGATGATTTGTTGAACTGTAAAGAGCCTTGAGATGACATGTGTTGTGAATTTGCCCTATAGAAATAAACTGAAATGAATAGAATCGTTTAATTATTTTTTGCTAATGTAAATCATATTATTATAGCGAAATTTAACAGCGTTCTGTCTAAAACAAAAACAAAACATATTTCAGATCAGTTTGCAATGCTCAGAAAAAATAAACGCAAAAACAAAGGTTTTATGCAAAATATCAGTTTTTTAAACCAATTTGTTTACGATTTTACAAAACGAGCGTAGGTAAAAGAGAAATCCCGAATTAAAAAGTAACTTTTAAAAAAAAATCTTTCCAAATCTTGCTTTGTTTTTCAGTGAGATGTCAGAAGGAAAAATCCTTTCCTCTGCTATGTCCTAAAATACCATGTGGCTCTAGATCAGAGCCCAGAGGAGCTACTAAAATGTATTGGAGGTATTTTCTACTCATATTTCATATCTATAGTGACATATATTGCCTAGCTCTATTATACATCTAATCATGTTCATATATTTGATAAACATACAACAGTTTGTTTTTCCTTCCAGTTGAAACTTTTTTCTACATTTTAATTTTCGTTCTCTCTACTAACCTGGTTTATAGTGTAAAAAAATCTTAATATTTCATTAGGGGTATTTGTATTGATTTAAAATATGGCTGAATGGATCTTAAATGTAAAAATGTGGGCTAATTTCAAATGTTAAATCCACCCTAAGACAATAGCTTAAAACTTCAGGTGTGTTTGACTCCTTTCCAACGGGACTTTAAATGTGGCGATCGAACTCCTTCAGGACTAAAAGATAAGAGCACTTTTATTTTCTACCAAGTTTGATTTTAAATGAATGGAAAAAGTCCTAAAATGACCAATTTAAGGGTCATTTCATAACACAGCCAGCAGGAGGTAAAATTTTCCCAATATTTACTCTTATCTTCATTAAAGGATTCCTTCCAAGCTCATAATTTCCACAATAATTTAAATGTAAATCTTTATTTAGACAGTTGATGAAATCATTTTTAATACATAAAATAGATTCCAATCTTTGGTCTTTATATAAACAGTGAAGTCACCCCAATAGAAAAATAATTTATGAGTAAATCTCAAAGTTGATTTTTCTTTCTTTTCACCAGAGATGGGAAAAACAAGTTCAACACTTTCTACATTTATCAGGAACTTTATCAGAAATTAAAACTGCTGGATGATGACATGTTTTGCTCATTTGACTTTTAAATACTTGATGTAACTTGCCTGATGTCAAGAAATAAAAAATTAGGCAACAGAACAATTTTCAGCCCCATATAGGGGGTCTAACATTGGAAAAAATCGAAAACTAGATAAGTCATTTTTTCTTAAAATAAGTGAATTTGTTCTTGGATCGAGGAGGTAAAAAAGACATTTTGACAATGGAACCAGACAATTTACACCTAAAATAAGAAAACACAATTGCATTGTCTTATTTCAAGTACATCTTATCTAACTATCTTATTTAAAAAAAAAAAGAAAAAAAAAACACTAAATCCATTGGCAAACTAATTTACCGACTCAATTAAGGGGAAATACACTTAGTTTAGGAAATTTTAACTTATTTCTAGATCTTTTTCCAGCGTTCCAGTGACATGAAAAGGTGAAAACAGTGATTCTGCTCAAAAGGGGAAAAAATATTTAATAAACATGAGATTTCTGTGGAAGAAGAGATGAGCTGGTAGAGAAACATTCAGGCTGTGCAGCTCGTGTCCATTAGTGCGTCTGGCATTCCGGTAGCATAGCCCTTATCACTCTACTGAAAATGAGCACAACACCAAACCCTGCTGTGGTTCCAAGAGGAAAAAGAAAAGCTGGAATACATGAAAAAAGGAATGCCGCAGTCCCACATGCGTAAAACTCTGCGTCTGCACCCCGCCAATCAATAAATCTGCAGGTGTGGAGACGTGGCGCCGTCCCTCCATTTGTACACCTTGTCTGTGATGACTGTGCGGCACAGGGGGCAGCTCCTCTCCCGGTTAAACCACAGAGCGATGCACTCGTCACAGAATACGTGCTGCAAAGCAGAAGAGGGGAAACGGGTTAGCAGGTTTCACACTTCTCATACAGCTGCATTAGGGTCACATTAATCCGTTTACCCAACAGCACCGCACCTCACAAAGAGGTAGAAAAACACTTTATTGTCCCGCACTGGGAAAATTCTGGTGTTTACAGCAGCAAAAAAGATAAGGACAAATATGGACCATAGAAAAATGCAGAATAATAGTGAAGAGTTAAAAGATTAACAATAAAATACTGTAAAGTGTTTTAACAATATAAGAAACTGCACCTGGAGAATAAATAACCAATATGCAGCTATGGACATTTTTACAGTTTGAAAATAGCAGCAACATCAGAGTTGAGCAAAATGATGGCAGCATGTTATTTTACTGACTAAGTAGAAACTGCAAAATCAGCATGAAAGTAATAACATATAGAGGTTGTTGGGAGCAGTGGGTGGTTATAGAGTCTTTTGCTACGTTCAGACCGCACGCAGCAGGAAAAACGCACATGCCGCTACATTTTTGATGCTTGTTTAAGTTTAGTTCTGACGTGCGGCTGAAGCATCTTTGCTGCTCAAGCTGCGCGGTGGAAAAAGTGGATCTGATGCGTGTTGGGCGGAGCTACCCTCTCCTTTCTTTGACTGTAACAATGCTGCTATATTTGCTGTGATCAGTGGGTAAAAAGTAGTTTGAATCTCTTTTGAAGTGAGAAAGTCCACCTTAAAACATCCTCAGTACCATCCTGCCTTCAAATATAATTTCTGTCGGAGCCCCCGTACCCCGGCGCTATGCTGTCACTAGGAATCCCATTCAACAGCAGCCTCTGGCCTGGTTGCCTCCTTGCGGTTTGCCGCGGCAGCTGGAAGGCGTTTTTAATGCACATAATCTAAACTGCAGGCACCCGGATAATAAAAAAACGTTTTGCCGGCAGATTTCAGCATTTTAATTTAATTTAGGTGTTAATAAACTGTTTCAGAGGGGTGATGATAGCGCTTTGCATCAGCAGCGATGTGTCTGTCTCCCTGCCAGCTCCCAGATCAACTTCTCTGATTGGTTGATGTGGCACGTAGAGCAGCAAAACTTAAATTTTTCCAACTCCAGCAGCTCCTGCTGCTAAAAACGTGCTGCAGGACATTTTGCTGCACGTCAACCATTGACTTTGCATGTAAACTAGCTGCTCCTGCTGCTTTAGGTCTGAATGTAGCATTACAGCTGCTGGAAGGAAGGATCTGTGATAACGCTCCCTGGTGCATTTAGGGTGCAGCTGTCTGTCATTGCAGGAGCTCTCCAGTTCTTCATGCATGGGATAGGAAACATCATCCAACAGAGTTGGATAGTTCAAGAGTTCAATAATATGACAGCTTGGCTTTCCACTAAGATGAAGGTAGTTTTGCATTTAGAACAAGCCTGCAGGTTTAGGACCTTGCATATGTAACAATAACTGGAGACTCCTGGATCGACTTAGTTCAGAGAGCGTCTGTATTATGGGGAAAAACGACAGTCAATAGCTCAAGAACCTGAATTTGAAAAAGCCAATGTGAATACATTTAAGGTTTTTTTTTTTCTTTAAACAGGGTTTTTACAGGAATGAGTAACTCTAATTTAATTGTTTTTAATGCTCTTAGAAACAATTTTAATGCCATCAGCCCATGATTAACTCTCACTGTATTGACATAAATCATATTTCTTTGAGTATTTTATATCAGACTTAGTGTCAGTGCACTTACAGCCATGCGGTCACCTAAGAATGACTGTTAAAAAGTCATAAAGAGAAAATTAATTATAGTTACAGCTTTGCAACAAGTATGAATTACAAATTTAAAAGTAGGCACCAACAACCCCTGATGAAGCTGTTACGCTTCTTACCAGTAGGTGGCGGTAATGCGCCTGATAGTTCCTATAACAAGATGATGAAACCCAAACCATTGATCCAGTTGTTTAGTGTAATTATCGATCAGTGATTCTTCTTCCTCTTCCTATTTAAAAGTGAATTAAAGACACATTTCTAGTCATCTGTGTGTATGAATTAAGAAAAAGGAAACAAATGTTAAGTTGAAACTTATCTAGGTTTAATGACATCATTTACATCTTTATTGACACTTATCTAAGCGTATACTGCATCTACATAAGAAATAAATTCCCTTTTTTTCATTTATCTGACTAAAAAATGATGTTTACAACTAATGGCCTGAAACATTCTTTTTATATAAAATTTTATTTGTCTTTTAATGTTTGTTTGTTTTTTTTAACAGTGAAGCGATTTATGAATTTTTGCCCAGAAAAATCCTTTATAAATAAATGTTATTTACTTTAACAGAGATGTTTACACAAAGCTGCCTTATAATTATTTCATAGTTAGCTTAAAATTGTGATACTTTCTCAGAAATCTCTGCATATTGATCGTAGTGTGACTATGGTGTAGTCTTTCCCTTAGCGCTCTACTGTGCTGATATTTTTATATCTAAGGGAAACATCTTCCAGGATATTACAACTTTTTAAATTCTTTTTAATGCTTTTATGGTGCTATAAACACTCTTTATAGTTTCCGTCATATTTTTGTATCTTTTGCTTTAACTCTATGTACTCTATATAACAGGTTTTATACAGGAATGAGTATCTCTGATTTAATGCTTTTTAATGCTCTTAGAAACTATTTTAATGCCATCAACAAATTATATATATATATATATATATATATATATATATATATATATATATATATATATATATATATATATATATATATATATATATATATATATATATATATATATATATATATATATATTTATTAGGGCTGCAACTAACGATTATTTTAAAAATCGATGAATCAGCCGATAATTTTTTCGACAAAAAATATTTTTTATATTAACCTCTTTATTCCAAAATAAACATTTTAGACAGAACAAACAAGCACACAAGCACAGGTTGCTCATTAACTGTACTGGTGCAATATGAAAAATAAATGTTTATGTTAAAACTACGCAAACTTACATGAGAAATGTAGCTGTACATCCACAAAATATAGGATACTTTGTTTCATAAAGAGCAAAAATATACTTTTTTTTTTTTTTTAAGCCCCTAATGGGTTCAAACAATAGGCCGCCCCATTTCAACAAAGGAGGTTTTTTTTAGACTAGAAGAGTTCTGCCTTTTAAGACAGGAAAGTATAGCAGTTAAAGTTGCTACTTGAGAAAATACTGAACCATAGAGATAAAAATAGCCCTGTGATTCAAATTATAAATTGTATTTGGAATAAAAATGAGAGAACTAGGGGTGCTAAAAAACACATCCTCCAAAGACAGATATTTACATGGGAATGTGGCATATAATTAATTGACATATTACTGATCTTGCTGGATTTTATTCTGCTTTACTTCCATAAATTGCAGGATCTTCTTTACTTTATCTTTCCCAGAAGATTTAAACTTTAAAAGCCTTGCCCTCATAATTTGCAAGTTAATTTATTTATAAAGAAAATATAAACGCTGCTTAAGCTAATTCAAATGAAATTAAAAGTAAAATAAGTAGCCAACCTTATCACTGTCTGTAACCTACTAACACGGTAAGGAAAGCATCAGATGAGCTACCTGAGAAACTAACGTTACGTTTCCCCACTTTAAAACCAAACAAACATGGTGGTTCCGTGCCATGTTCATTTGTTTTTACAAAAGTTGCATGTTACGACCTTTTTCACTTTACAAAGCGCAGGCTACTTTAATTATTGTGATCAATTTGCGCCGTCAATCCTGCTGCTCTGACTGCAGCGCTGAGAGGGACTCCTGTGGGAGCGGGGGGAGGCGCCCCACAGCAGAGTAGGAACGATGCATGCTTTCACGTAAGAGTCTACAGAAGCCGCCAGTGGCACCGTAAAAAGTCGCCAGATTTGTCGCTAGTCGCTTTTTTGAAAAATAGTCGCTGGAGGGGTCTGAAAAGTCGCTGAGTTGGCAACACTGCACCAACAGCGCTGGCTCGCTCTGTCGTATTTTTTTTTCTTCCCCCGTTTCAGTCAAGTGGATGTGATGACGGCGGCGGCTGATGACGCATTAATCACGCGACACAACTAATCGATGATGAAATTCGTTGCCAACGCTTTTAAAAGTCGATTTTTATCGATTTTATTGATTCGTTGTTGTAGCCCTATAAACAACTTTGAATTATATGACTGTAAGGTTATAGCAATTATAATAAACACAAACTATAGCAAACTATAGCTATTATAGCAATTATAATAAACTGCTCAGATTAAAAGTTTAGTCTTTAAAAAGAGAAGGCGTTTATAGAGGCTCTAAATGGAACAAGTCAACCTGGAGGACAGTGAAGCTACATGCCAGCCTGTTTTTTTGTGCTTACCTGGCAGATTAGCACCCTGGGCTCTCTGTACTCTCCCTGGCAGATGGGACACACATCTCCAGCCTCGCTGCACTGAGCCCTTGTTGCTGCAGAGCCTGTGTGCTGAAACAGCACAGAAAATATGAAAATCTAGAAGATCTGACCCTTTTATAGGTAGTGAGGTTTACTGACCTTGCCTGCTAGAAAAATCCTCACAGTTTTCAGAAAAGACGTCCACTGGTTGTACAATCCTAAAAGCTGAAAAAAGAAAATCTTTAAAGTAACATTTGCAAAATTTTTGGTAAAAAAAACGAAATAAATAAAATGTCACCTTCAGTATGAGGTAGAGTAGAGCCAGCAGGACTCCGAGTGTGAGCCCAGGGGCCCCGTCTGACTCCTGGTAAGTGACCAGGAATCGGAACCACAGTGGAAAAGGTGCGGTAGCTTGGTACACCTGACCCAGCTCCTCCGTCACCATCAGCCACCGACCCTGTGCAGGTAAACAAACCTTAAGATTCTGCCACATATTTAACCTGAGCTGCGATGACAGAAATCAGCCTCTCCTACCTGGTTTCTGTATGTAGCCAGTGATGAGGGCACCAGCAGGATAAGGCACTTCATTCCCATGAAGAGAAACTTTATTACAAAGTTGGTGACGCCGACAGCCCAAAGGATCTCCCAGAAACCCAGAGGCTCGATGGTTGGATTCAAGAAGATGAGGCTGGAGGATCATTGATAATAATGTTAAAAAAACATCATCCTCCACTAACTGGACTGTCTAAGTATTCCTAGAAAACCTTCAAAGTTTTCAGTAAATATTGAACTTAGATGGACTGAGACAAGCTACTATTAAATATAAAGAAAACCATTAAAAATATTATTACATTTGATAATTATTAAAGGGTAAATAGATATAACTGTTCAAAATGTAAAGGAAAATACAAATAGACAAAAAACTCAGTTGAAAAATCCACATAACATGCATACGGAAAAAAAACAACGTAATTATAAATACAATGAAGCAGCTTTTAGATTGAAATTCACTATAATCCGTTTTTGTTCACCAGTTCAGTTTTTCACCTACTGTGTGGAGATCTGTGTCAAAATAATCTATGCTCACTACACTGCAGAATAAGGCGCTCTGTCACAAACAAACAAGACGAAATTCTTAGTTTTTGCATTCAGAAAAAAAAAAATAAAGATCTGGTTCTAAAATTGCAGAATTGAGTATTTACTGCCTCCTAACATCCAAAGTCATTTAGCCTGAGAGACAGGAGTCATGATTTATAACAAACACAAACTCCCAAATTCACTCGGAGGAAACCTCAAGAGTTTCTGTATGTGGAGGAAAAATGTGGAACCAACTCAACGTCCCAAAAACACGTCTTTAAAATCGTCATAAAAGAAAACGGTCTTTAATGAGTAAAAAATGAGGGGCAGTGATGTTTATCTGCTATTATGAGGCATTTTAAAAACATTTGTTGCGGCGTTTTTCATATCTTTTCGCTAACTGGAGTATAGAGACTGTAAAACTTAAAAAATAATAATAATCGACAGATTATTTGCAAAAGAATCGTTAGTTGCTACCCTAATCCTGATAAATTCCTAGTCATCAAAAATCTAGTCTGCAAAAAATAAATTACAATTGATTACATTTAAAATCTATCAAAAATGGTTAAATTTCCAGAATTTTAAGTTTAATTTTTTCTACTTTTCCAGTTTGGGTTTAAAAAAATTCAATTAATATGAATAAATGATGATACTGGTGGATGTTTAGTGACATAAATCCTACTTATTTATGTAACTGTTGTCCTAAAGAAGCTTATTTCATATTTACTTTCAAAGAGCAGCATTTGTGGCTATAATTGTTGTAGCCTGCAGTCACAGCCATACAGTTACCTGCAAAGAGGTAATTAATAGTTTATTTCCATTTATCATCATCATGATTGCTGTTATTATTCTTGTTCACCAGGGAGGTTATGTTTTTAGGGGTTTGTGTGATTTTTTATTTTGCTTTAGTACTCTGTATTTTTTGTTTGTCTTAAAAAGTAAATTGTTATCAGACCTAAAAAGATTTTTAAATGCGGTTATTAAAGAGTGAATGAGCCTTACGAGTGGTAAAGTGTTTCTGAGAGAAAGGTGTAGTACAGCAGGAGCGTGGAGGAGGTGAGGAAGAGAAGCAGCCATATGCACTGCAGCTTCGAGTGACGATCCTTAGAGGTGGAAAAAACAAAAACAGTGATGTCAGGGATTTAAAAAGGATTATTGATAAATGTGTCAAACTGGAGCTTACCTGAAGAAAGACTTGGGTCTGAATGTTTTTATTCACATATAAAAAAGTAGTGAGGAGGCCCACCCCAACTGCTAAACCTTTTAAAATATAAAAAGATGAATAAAAAACGTTAGAGTTTGAGCTCTGCTTCTCATCCCTCATCACAGTTATAAATGTGTAACTCGTCCTCACCGAGGGCATGCTGGATGACCAGTTTAGCACACAGAATGACGAGGAAGGGAAGACTCTTCTGGATCCAACGGAACAAGCAGCGAAGCTCGGTCAGGGAGCCGCTGGGCTCACCAGAATCCCCATCGGAGTCGGGTGGGTCCAGATCAGGCTCTGAACTGGAGTGGAGCTGTGCCCTACTGTGGCTGTGTGAGTGAGAATGAGTGTGGGAGTGGGAGTTGACCCTGGACCTCCTGGATGACGCGCCTCCATTCGACTCTCCAGAACTCCCAGTCAAAGATACCCTCACCTCACTGCTGTCATTGCTGGAAGCAGCAGCTGCAGCGTTAGTAGCAGCAGGTGCCCCAATCAGAAGCTCTGCTGGCAGATTTAAGGATAAACCATTTCCTGCATGAACACCTCCTTCACTTGGATTGGGCTGCATAACAGTAGGAGACTCCCTTGGTTTTAATACCCTTCTGGAATCACTCCTTAAAGAAGAAAAAAAAAGTCAGATGGTGGTTGATTTCTTTCAGAGGCTGTAAGTCAGAGCAGCTTTAAATAGTGATGTTATGAGATGAGCCGAGGCTTCGAGGCGTGTCAAGTAAAGGTGGCGGCGTTTCCACAAAGTGCATGTCGGGGCGTGATTCATTTAAGGGAGGGGCCAAAATTGATGACATCCGAAGCCTCGCTACCGTGATACTACATGACCGCTTCAGGAAGTGGTTCAGAAAGCGCAAGAACTTCTACAGGCATTTAAACAGCCTCAGTATTCAGTCAACATGTGGGAGTTGGGAGGACAGTTGCTGGATAGAGTTTGGATAGATTCTAAGAATAGATTGGTGAAAAAAACAACCAATATAGTTGGTTAAAATTATTTTAGTTAGATTAAACAATGTAATCATCAAAATCACTGGTCACAGTTGTAACTTTAGTGTTAAGTACTATTGCTGTCTGTTGACATTATCTTCCAATCCTCAGGTTCGATACCCATCTTCAACTATTGAAAGTTCTGATTAGTTCCGATAAGCATTTTGGCTAATGGGACTCATTTGTATTAGTTTGCCTTAGTAAAAATATAAATTGGGTAAAAACACTGCCAAATTAGATTGACTGGTTTAGCCAAAATGGCTGAACACATAACTTCCAACCTAATTAAAACCAAAAACCATGGAAAAACTATTTTATTTGAATAAAAATGACTAACACCTTTCATTTTGCTCATTATTGCCCAATTTGCACAAACACTTTCCCTGTCTGCTTGAGCTTATTTTACCAAAATGGCAGAAAAACTGTGTACCTAAAATGATTGTTCTCTTCAAAGACATTTTACACACACAAAAAAAAAAACTTACAAAAGATTGTATTGAACACACCAATCGTAAAAGAATTTAAAGGAACTTAAATGGGGGAAAATTGCAAAAAAAATAAAATCACAGATTATATTACTACCTGTAGTTCTGCACACCACCAGTAGGTGGTGAAATGAAGCTTCATGAACTGTGAGGATCGTTGAAGCCAAACGGTTCAGTGAGGCTTCATCTCATCATCACTACCTTAAAACGTCTCAAACAACAACTCTTAAATCTGTTGTCTCTATATATTCAATAAGAAGAAAAGGCAAAAAATAAACCCAAACAAAAATGTAAAGGATGTTTAAAGTTTTTCCTTCTGTTATTTCTAAACACTTTCCACTCAGCAGCATAGGAATTCGGTGACAGATTCAGTTAACACAGCAAACAATTTCCTTAAGCCAGCTAGTAGCTAGCAGCTAACAGCTGTTTCCCACCACTCCGAAGCAGCGGCTCTAAAAGCTCCAGCTCACCTGTCATTCTGACCTCGGAGTTTCATCGTAATCTCCTGGCCGCCATTTAGTAAAAAATACCCGAACCAAGCGCAATGAACTCAAAAAGAAACGAAAAAAGGCTAAGCTGAGCTGCTAGCTTCTAGGCTAAGGGTTTCAAGCAAGACATTTTTACGACCTTTGACGTCGAAAGCGTCATGGAGACGTAAGTGTGAGCGTTAGTATGGCAGGCCAACTTAACATAAAATCATCTTCTTCTGACTCCGTGATTACATCTAAGATATATATAAAAAAGAGTTGAATCGGAAAAACTACATTTTGACTATCTTGAATGATTTTTGTCCCATGTCCTATTCTTTTTTTAATCTAGTTTGAACAATTTTGATAAAAACATGTTAAAGTTTTCCTTTTTCATTAGGACACATCACATTATCACATTAAAACCTACCTTTTAAAACTCAAAGGGCAGTTTTTTGATGTGGTTTAGTCTAATGTGTTTATTATTCTGATATTGTGTCCAAATCACAATTAATGCAGCCCATTATTACTTATCAAGGCTCTCAAATTGAAGCCCTACCTCACCATAAAGATTTAGCAGTGAGCAGTACAAACTGTGAACCTATCAGCCTCTTAACTATACTAGGTATAAGATTATTGAAAACTTATCTCCTGAACAAGCAATTAGAAAATAGTAAATATTTGATTTAACCACATGTCACTTTCAACACGCTTGTTGTGAAGGTCATTCAGTTGCCTCTGCACTGACTTGGATGGTTTGTAAATTTCATTGATGTAAATAATTTGACTGGAGCTTTCTATTCGACCTTAGTTTTGCCTTTAACCAATAAGATGAGGATTTATTTTTAGAAAAACTTTAGCATGGGGAATTATGTTCTAATGCAGTAGATTAGTAATTTTTTATCATCAAAATACATATGTATTTAAAAGAGGCAATGTTTCATTTAGTCTTCCAGCATGTCAGAGCTGATTTATGTTGATGACAACTGCAGTCATTTGTTAGGCTCATCCGCTGAGAAGTTGCCTCGAACACGGCCCTGCAACCTTTGCAATCCAAGGAGCCCTTTTTGTCTTTTTTTCCAGTTATTTAAACTCATTTAGAGCAGCAAACATTATATGACCTTAAATAAAAAAAGATAAATTCTATTTGAAATAAATATGTAATGCAGGAGATCTGTCCTTCAAAAAAAAATTTTTTGAGCCATTTCAAATTTTAGGTTTTAAAGCAATAAATGGGTTGCTGATATTCTTCAAAAATAATGTTGCAAAAAATAAAATGTTCCCAAGATTAAAAGATATATTTGTGTTATAACTAGAGTGCATTTATTTTGTGACTTGGAAAAAAGGACTTCAGTCCTGTTAATTAAATTTCTTTCGAGCCATAAACATCTCTAGTTAAAAAAAATGCACAGAAAAATGTAAAAACATGCATTTCTTAGTATATCTATTGTACAAAGAATAGTTCATATTTATCAGTTTTAGCCAACATGATGAAGAGCCATTGTTTATTGTCTTAAGAGCCACTTGCATCCCCAGGTTGCAGAACCCTGAGCTAGTACCTTGGACAGCGATCTTTATACAGTGATAAATACAGTTTATACTAATGAATGTGTTTTAAATATATCTAAAATTTAAATTATAGCATTTACATCAAATTAAAAGAAGAAGAAGAAGAAGAAATTAAAAACTCAGCTAATACTAGACATGTTTGTAGATGGCACCCCCATTAACCAGGTTTGATTTTTTTTTATTTCATCTACAATCTGAAATAACATGATTATATTATTTAGTAATTATATACTTTTCATGTTTAAAATAAACCAATATTCTGTTGCACATGGTTTTAGGATAGTCATTGGTAAAATATAAGGTTGCCATTTACCTTCTTTGCTCTTAGAAATGTTTGTGTATATAAAATACCACAATTTTTTGCCATACTTTACGTTGATTAACCGAAAGAGATGCTTTAAAGCCTGTTTCAGTCTTCCATCACGCAATACCAATGCTGAAATAAAGTCAGTTATTATCAGGGGGTTATTTTTGAATTCCTTTCATTTAAAACAAATGCAGCAGTTTTTAAGCTTATTTTAATTTTTTTATTGGTTTTATATCTTTTTATTGCATATAGTGTACAGAGATGGGAAGTAACGAAGTACAAATACTTCGTTACTGTACTCAAGTAGATTTTTCTGATATTTTTACTTTACTTTACTACTTATTTTTATGGCGACTTTTTACTTCTACTCCTTACATTTTTACACAAATATCTGTACTTTCTACTCCTTACATTTTAAAAAATTGGCTCGTTACTTTAGTTTTGAATCATTTCAATGGAGTTACCGTTATTATTTTTCACGTCATCAATACCAAATTCAGTCTAATTGGATGGGAATCTACATTGCATTTGACGCACCACTACAAGATGAATCAACAGATTCGGCGGTATTCATTCGCAGCAAATCATTGCAGCTTGGTGGCGGTGGCGTTAGCATAGTAATATGGACGACGAGATGATTGAAAATGAACACAACGGAGATCTAGTCCTATTGGCAGACATCCATTTAAAATGTAGGCAACAGCATGAAAAAAGTGGTTTCTACTTTTACTTTTATACTTTAAGTAAATTTACAAGCCTGTACTTTGTTACTTTTACTTGAGTAAAGAAGTTTAATCAGTACTTCCACTTTTACCAGAGTATTTTTTAACACAAGTATCTGTACTTTTACTCAAGTACGGAAAGTGAGTACTTTTGCCATCTCTGATAGTGTATGAATGAATCGTTATTTTAATGTGTTTTTATTATGTAGACCCCAAAAGGAGTTGCCATTGTCATGATAATGACTAATGGGGATCCTGATAAACACGCTCTTTCTCTGTTTCTAATTCTCAGTGAAACCTGATCCATATTAAAATATGGAACAGAGCATTTTGTTGGGATCTGGAGTTCTGCCACCTTTCTCCAGCAGAGTTTCTCCAGAGTTGAGCCACCTGCACACCTGAGGCTCATCCTCTCATCAGGAGACCAACTACTTAAGCAGCGGCCAGACCTGTCTTCAGTGCCAGAGTGTTGCCAGTTATGGTTAGCAGAACCTGAGCCAAGCCTGCTGATCCGATACTCTGAAGAGTATTCTGATCCTAACCTGTTTTTGTCTTCTCTGCCTCCCTGACCTGCCTGCCTGCCCTGACAGCCAAACCTGAAGAACCTCAAGCTGAGTCTTTTCCAGTTCTCAGGAGAGAACCTTGGCTGACCATTCAAAGTCTGAGCTCAAGTCTGAAGTCAAGCTCTGCTGCTGCTAGCTCTCTGCTGAACCCTCAAACTCTGGACCCAACTGGTTCCCTCTCTCACTGCGTCAGTCTGAATCTCCCCAGGTACAGATCAGTATCTGACTGTGTCAAGATTCCACAGACCTCTGGCTAACCTAACTATCCCTTCTCTACAGAGAAACCCTTGTGAAGTCATCCCGGACCAGAATCAGTATCTGTGATTTATTCTGTGTGATTCAAAATAAACTGTTGAACTTTTTACCCCTGTCTCCGTGGTGTGTTCTGCATTTGGGTTTGATCCCCATACCCAACATGACACATTTCTCTCTCAATCTGCAGGTTTTCTAAAAGTCGAACTACCAGTTTCAGTCTGTGAGGCAGACGCCTGTCTACTTTTAAGGGTAGGCTATAAACTTTCCTTTTTGACAAAGAATAGTTAGATTATCATTGGTTATCCTGAACCATCTCTGTAGTTATGCTGCTATAGGATTGGACTTCTGGAGGACATAGGGACCACTATTTCATCGTTCTGCTTCATTCTATCTCTAACGTTATGCACTCTCTGCTTTTTCTCATAGTAGCTTCGCCTCGTCTGTTCCTATTTGGCCGTGGCCCCATCCTGGGGAGGGGTATTAGGTGTGCTGCTGCCATCAACACCTTTTTTTCATAGCTGTTGGAGATTGGCCTGTTTTTCAGTGTAGTCCTGTTTCTCTAACTGTGACTGGCTGGATGTGCTCCCTTCATCCTCTGACATGGGAGCTGGCTCGAAACTCTTCTGCCTGGCTGTGTGTTTCCTGGACGGGGCCGCCTTTTACAGTTACCTTTTGTATCTCTGCTTCTTTTTCTATCTCTGCTTCTGTCTCCTTGAACCCCAGTCGGCCTTGGCAGATAGCTGCTCACACTGAGCCTGGTTCTTCTGGAGGTTTCTCTAGTTTTCATTAGAGTTGTGCCATATGCCACGATCATACTTTTTGGACATTGGGAACCAGTGTCCATATTTCATCTTGATAGGATGATCAGAGGAGAAAAATGCAGCTTTGGTGAATAACAGCTGGGGAACTTCTGCAGCCCCCCTTTTTCAGCCAAAGCAGTCACATGGAAGTCACAGAGGTGTGAAAACCTACCCCTCCCTCTCTGTAAGGACGAACAAAACCACAGAGCACACAGAATTCTGATTTCTTCTGCTCCAGCCTTTTTTTTGCTTCCTTCCGCTCCTGGTCTCTTCTACTCCTGCGCTCAAAGCTGGGGCCCACTGTGGCCCACAGTGGAGATGCAAGGATAAGTCAGAACCTTTCAGAACCGAACTGCTACAACAGACCTTTTGCAACACATTTCTCTTGAGTTTCAGAACTTACAGAGCCACACTGGATGAGGACCATGCCCTGGGTGTGAGACTGAGGGGACCCCTGCTGTGAGACTGAGTCTAAGGCCCCGTCCACACGAAGCCAAACGAACACGAAACGCTGATATTTTCCAAAACGTTTGCCGTAAAGACGGAGACGTAAAATAAATGGGATCGTCCACACGAATGCATGAAAACGCTGCAAAATGTATGCCAGGCCTGTAAGTGGCGCTGTGGTGCCACAGCAAAAATAGGCGACGAAATGTTGGGCATGCGCACTAATATTTATACATGGTTGCCCTGCGGGTCCATTTTCGTGGTTCAGTCAAATTCAGGTGCTGAACTATGTCGTCGATATTGCTCTGTTCTTCCTGGAGATATTCCAGAAGAAGAAGATTCTGTTGTAAGCCCGACAGCAGGGTGAGTAGCATGAGCAGCAACCATTCAACACAGTACGCCGCCATTGTTGTTGTGATACTGTTTCGCGCATGCGTGTTTAGAGGCGACGCTATGACGCATGCGTGTAAAAAAAAATGCGGTTAGAGCTTAAAGATGGAAACGCGAAAACGGCG